TGTGTGTACCAGGTTAGGGTTAGACCATAATCTTATTCCGATTTTTCTTATTTTAGTTTTATTATGAGTATTGAATATACCCCCTGCCCATATGTTTCAGTCCCTTTACACAACTTTATTTAAAGTAGGCAAAAAAGTTAGTCACCTCCATATTGGTACACACACTTCTGGAGCGCACTTTTTCTTATTATTGAACATGGAACATATAAGGGTTATCTTGTAGTGACATTTCAATTTTTAATAGTGTGCCCTCGAAACGAGTTTTTATTTTAGTTAATCTGGTAGGTGTGAGCAATTCCAATCTTCTTGCGTCGCTAAACCTATACCAGTACGTGAGTGCCACTGTCATATTAGCAAAACTAGCTAGCTAAATCCTGTTGCATAATTCACCATCCAGCCATCCAGAAAACGTGTTTCTCCCTGAATTCGAACAGCAGTTTTCTTGAGAAATTTATAAGTTTTAACTCATCCTTTCTGCAAGGATTCCTACCAATGCTGTAGACCCCTGCCCTAAATTATTTGCTTTAAAATTTAGACCCCTCAACATCATCCAAAGTTTCAGAGCTGAATAAAGTATTGATTGCACTTATAATAACATATCCTCTGTTATGCAATAATACCATCCATTGGGTTAGATTTTTATCTTTTTTTTTTATCTTTCCTATTATTTTCAATGTTCTTCTGACGCTACTTTGTCTGAAACTATATTTTTCCTAAAATAAAATAGAAGGATTTGTTATAAAAGTTTCAAAAATCATATCATTTGGTTTGGTTTGTTTTGGTTTCTTTCACATCGCTTCAAATTAGTTATTAGAGTAATCATTCCGAGTCATATTAAAATGAAAATTATCCTCTAATACATCTTTTTACGCAAGCCTATTCCTGCCTTCCTCATGGAACGAGGCGTAATATAGTGCTGATATGATGTGTGCAAAAATAAATCACCCACAGACAACTTATACACAAACAAATTAATTATTAAATGATATATCTTATGGGTAAACATTCAGTAACAGGCGCCGCCATATCAAGACACCAATATCTATTTAAACAACGCTTGAAGTGTTTTAGCTAATACTTTTACAGTTGAATACGTTTCGATCAAGCTTGAGAACTAGTTGTTGAGAATGGCACATGATGAAAGTTGTTTTTTCGTAATCACCAATCAGTTTAATGATCGTGGTTCTCAGGCCAAGTATGGGCCAGACATTTTTGATAGTCGTGAATAGGCATTTGCCGGGGAACATTTCAAACAATTGCAACATGGCTATGCTAGTTATATTCATTAATTCGATGATTGATATAGAAACGCCATTTCCCTACCTGTGTATAAATCTTTTGGTGTTAGTTTGGTTGAGATCTCAAGCTGTTGTGATTTACCTCATACCAAAGAAGCAGCACAATTGGTGAAACTTAACGTAATTATATACAAAGTATATGCATGATTTTATTTTGAACTACTTGATAAAAAATTCCTTCGAAATATATTTTAAATTTTAGTATGTGTTTGAAAAAAATGTCTGACCGAGATATTGGGTTCAAGATCAAGAGCAAATATTACTTCTAAACTATATATAAACTACGCTTCAAACTCAGTTAAATTGACAGTTTAGTCGATATTTCCTATACATCGAGGGGGAACTCCCTCTTTTCCGCACGGTAATTTTTTTTAATTTTGATATGTTGTTTTTATCCGTCTATCAAAGATATAGGGTTGATAAATTTGATGAGAAAATATTATTTCTTTCATGCGCAAATTCTGTCTCAAATCAGTTTAATTTACTATTTCGTTGATTTCTTGCATAAATCACGCCTTAACTCTTCAAATGCATGATTTCGTTGATTTTTTCGATAAATTGGGAGGAAATTACCTACTTTCTCCAAAGTGAAATTTGAGGTTTAAATCTAAAATTGTGGTTTAAATCTATCTATTAATAGTAACAGTGCTGATGAATTTGATGAGGAAAATTTATTTCTTGCATAAATTACGCCTCAACTCAGTTAAATTAACGATTTTGTCGATAGTTTCGATAAATTGGGATAAAATTTATATCTGCTAAACATTTATTCATTTTACCGAGTGTCTTATTTTAATCATTCTCTGTTTTATTATATTTCACGTCTTTCCTTGTTTTTGAAAAATGGGGAATCGCCTCATTAATGGAATCCATATAAGTAGTTATTCGTGACAATTGTTCACTTAATTTCCAATCAATTCCACTGGCACATGGCGGGTTCGATTTTGGAAAAATGGGTAACTGTCTACTGGAACTGTCTGCTAACTTTACCCGGGTTCGGAAAGTCATTATGAAATCAGTTTCTCGCTGCGAGACCTGCCACACATAAATAGGTTTGACGTCCTTCATGAGTAGTTGATGGTTAACGGTTACGATTAATTTTGACCGTTAATTGTCTATGTAATTGCCTTTATACTACAATTTCTTCGAATGATTAGATCATCACAAATTTATTTCTCTGTGGCTTTCAATTCGAAAGAAGATCGCTAACTCAATTAGTAAGCACCAAAAAAATAATTGAAGTAAACATATTATTCACAATTTCATTGCAAAAGCGTATATTCACTGTCTTTCAACAAGGGCGCATTATATCATAGGAATATTAGCATATCGAGATTTTCTGGACGTAGTGATGAATGCTTTTCATTTACAATATTTTCTGTCGTACAAAATACTCACACTGGTGGTACACTAGTATAACGTAGGCCTACACACATATTTTTTGCGCCAATTTGAATTCGAGAGTTGGCGGGAGTTCTTTTTTGGCGCGGGCTTTGTACATAATTTCAAAAAGCCCCGCAGAAATGTATTAAGCTCATTAGAACAAATAAATATTTCTACAATGATCAAGCATACACAACCGCATTTCATTCATTATATAATGTATTGAAAAAGACAAAAGTACTGAACTGCACAGACTGCACTCAAATGATATGTATGAAATTATTTTTTTGATTTTCAGTAGTATTTTCACCTATTCCAAATCTAGTATAGTTTCGACAATGCAATGGATTCGTATTGTGACAGTATGTCTCGAGACAAAGTTTACGTCTATTAGAACAATTCAGCCAACCGAGCAATGTGACCGAAGACCAAAGCTAGTTATAAATTTGATCCGATTTATTCGCTTTTTGACGAAAGCGTTGTCCGAATTCATGTGTTCTGTTTGATGTAACTGTCCACGTACTTGCCATTGGGGACTAACCTTTTTGATCTCTTCCACCGAACATTTAATTTCCATCTGCCAATACGCGAGACGATAATAATAATAATAAAAAAAATATTGAAAAAATATTTGGTCTTCCTTTATATTGTTAATTGTCTACATAGTAAAATATTATCTATAATAAAATGTATGTACACGCGCAATAGTTTAGCCACGTGCATTTCATAGATCCAGGGGAGGTCGCTACGCTACCCGCGAGGGAATATGTATTGAAATATTTTTAGTAAATTAAGAAGCAGATGTTTGTTTGAAGTTTGTTGAAGGACCCGGGTCGTTGCGCCGGACGAATGACGGAAATTCGTCCGGCGCTCTGCCCCCGACACCTCTAGTCCATTAAGAAGTACCAATACCACGTAATAAACTGATCACCCCTAACGGAGTCGAATTTTTTCAATTTTAAAGTCCGTGATCACTCAACCGTGACGAAAATTTGACACAAACTAGACCTCAACTACCTTGTATGACCCAAATATGACATCTCTACCTTTTACCATTCTCGAGATATAACGTAAAATTACTGGAGCGTGTTTGAGGTACTGGAGAAAAAAAATTTCTTCTAAAATGGCTTCAAATAATTCTTCTAAACATGCCCATGCCTTTACTTTCTTAATGAGTCCCTTCAGAAGCCTGCAATAAGCCAAAATCACTAAAGCGTGACTGGGGAGTAGGAGAAAAAAAATTTCTTCAAAAAAATGTTAAACTAATTTTTCCAACCATGCCTTTCTATTCTATTTCTCGATAGCTTCAATTTTAGGTACGCAACCTTCTTACGCCACTGGAGGGCAATTGGGAGGGGGAAGCACCGATTATTGGGTGAAGAAATATACAATTAGTTATATTCTTCGAGAATTAGGCAATACTTTGCCCAAAATCCCATTCACATGCCTCAGAATTGCCTAAAAACAATAGAACCTAAGTGGGCGTGGCTTTGCACGAGTTTTCTCACCACAGAGGCGTGGGGGAACAGCCCCCACCGCCAAAAATACTTGAAAAAATTCTCAATACTCGGGCAAACACTTTCTGGCCCCGGAAACAGAGGCAAACGGCCTCTAAACCCCAAACTCACTCTTGCGTGACTTGACTAACAGCTGATTGACCAATAAGCAGCTCCGGGCCACTAAAATCCCGTTTTGGCCCACTTCCTTTGGCCCGATCGCTCCCAAAAATTTTCTGTGTTCGTTTGGTAACTACCTCCCGCTACATGCCACGTTTCGTCCCGATCGGCCCGCCCGTTTTCTGGGAAATGGTAATTCATAGGGCCTTAGCCACTAGACTTCGCCACATTATTTTTGCTCTACGAGCAAAGGCTTTCGACCATTACTGTGCTTTCGCACTAAAGTGCTACAAGTTTGTGGCTGTATTCGGGTAGTTGATGTATTCGGAGAATGGCTGTATCCGTGGAGTGACTGTATCTGCAGAATGACTTTATCCGTAAAATGGCTATGTGCAGAAAGGCCTTATCTGTTTGATCGTCTGGATTTACAAAATGGCTGTATCTGTATGGCGGTGTTTCCGGAGAGTAGCTGTATCTGCAGAATGGATGTATCTGTAGAATGGCTGTGCCGTTAGAATAGCTGTGTTTGTACAATGACGATACCTGCAGAATGTCTGTATCCGAAGAATAGCTCCTTTCCTAAAATTAGTTGTATTCGCAGAATCGCTGTATTTGCAAAATTGCTGCAGAATGACTGTACTGGTGGAATGGCTGTATTTGTACAATAACTGTACCTGCCGAATGGTTGTATCTGTAGAATTACCATTCTCTCCAAAATGGCTATATCTGTAGAACGGCTGTATCTGCAGAATGGTTGTAACTGTAGACTTGCTGCATATGCAGAATAGGTTTATCTGTAGAATGGCGCCTTTCTCCAGAATGTCTGTATCTGTATGAATCATCTTTGCAGAATGGATGTTTCCTCAAAATGGCTGCATTTACATAATGGCTGTACCGGTAAAATGACTGTGTTTGTACAATGGTAGTACCCATAGGATTGCTGTATCTGTATAATGGCTCCTCTTTTCAGAATGTCTATCTGTAAAGTTTCAGTATCTGTCGAATGGCATCTTCTTCTATAATGTCTCTATTCGCAGAATTTCTGTTACTGCAGAGTGACTGTATCTGTAGAGTGGCTGTATCTGCAAAATGGCTGTATCTGTAGAACATATGTACCTGCAGAGTGGCTTTAACCGTAGAAAGACAGTATGAGCAAAAGGGCTGTATCTGAAGAATGGCTCCTCTTTGCAGAATAGCTTAATCCGCCAAATGGCTGTATCTGCATAGGGGCTTTATCTGTAGAGTGGCTGTATATGCAGAAAAACTGTATCTACAGAGTGGCTGTATCCGTGAAGTGGTTGTATTTGCAGAATGGCCGTATCTGTAGATCGTCTGTATGTGCAGAGGACTGTACCTGTAAAATGGCTGTATGTCTGTATGTGCAGAATGGCTGTATCTACAGAGGGGCTGTATCCGGGGAGTGGCTGTATGTGCAGAATGGCTGCATTTGTAGAATGACTGTATATGCAGAAACGTTGTATCTGCAGAGTGGCTGTATCCGGAGAGTGGTTGTATCTGCATAAGGACTTTTTTTTATATATTGGCTGTATTTGCAGAATGGCATTATCTGTAGAATGACTGCATATGCAGAAAAGCTGTATCTGCATAGCGGCTATATTCGGGGAGTTGCCGTATTTGCAGAATGGCCGTATCTGTAGATTGGCTGTATGTGCAGAATGTCAGTATATGTGGAGTGGCTGTACATACAGAAAAGTTGTATCTACAGACTGGCAACTCTCTGCAAAATGGCTGTATCCACAGCATGGCTGTATCTGGGGAATGACTGTATTTGCAGAACATCCGTATCTGTAGATTGGCTGTATATGCAAAATAACTGCATTTGCGGAATGTAGAGTAGAGTGGTTGTATCTGCAGAGTGGTTGTATCCGGAGAAAGGTTATATCTGCAGATTGGCTGTATGTGTAGTATGGCTGTATCTGTATAGTGGATGTATCCGGAGAGTGGCTTCATGTGCAGAATTGTTGTATGTGCAAAATAGCGGTATTTGTAGAATAGGTGTATATGCAAAAAAGTTGTATCTGCAGAGTGGCTGTATCTGCAGAATGGCCATATCTATAGAGTGGCTGTATCTACAGAAAGGCTGTATCGTAGAGTGGCTGTATGTGCAGAAAAGCTGTATTTGCAGAGCGGCTCTATCCGGAGAGTGGCTGTATTTACTAAATGGATGTACTGTATAATAGCTCTATGTGCAGAATGGCTGTATTTGTAGAGTGGCTGTGTATGCAGAAAATCTGTATATACAGAGTGGCTGTATCCGGGGAGTGTTTGAATTTGCAGAATGACCGTATATCTAGATCGGCTCTATGTGCAGAATTTCTGTATCTGTAGAGTGGTTATATCCGGAGAGTCAATGTATCTGCTGAATGGCTGTATTTGTAGAATGGCTGTATATGCAGAAAAGTTGCATCTGCAGAGTGGCTGTATCCAAAGAGTGGCTATATCTGCAGATTTCCATATCTGTAGATCGGCTGGATTTGCAGAATAGCTGTGGTTGTATCCGGATAGTGGCTGTACCTGCACAATGGCAATATTTGTAGAATGAATGTATCTGTAGAATGGCTGAATATGCAAAATAACTGTATTTGTAGAATATCTGTAGAGCGGTTGCATCTGCAGAGTATCTGTATTTGCAGAATCGCTGTATCTGCAGAGTGGCAGTGGTATTTTCCGGATGGTCGTATCTGTAGATTGGCTGTAGTTGCAAAATGGCTGTATCTGTAGAATGACCGTATCTGTAGGGCGACTGTATGTGCAAAAAGGTTGTATCTGTAGAGTGGTTGCATCCGGAGAGTGGTCATATATTTATATTGGCCGTATCTTCAAATTGGCTGTTTGTGCAGAATGGCTGTAACTGTATATTGGCCGTATGTGAAGAATAGTTGTATATGCAGAGTGGCTGTACGTGCAATAAAGGTTTCTCTACAGAGTGGCTGTACGTGCAGAATTGCTGTATCTGTAGAGTGGTTGTATCCGGAAAGTGGCTGTATCTGCAGAATGGTTGTATGTACCGAATGGCTGTATTTGTAGAATGGATTTGTATCCGCAGAGTGCCTGTATCTGGAGAGTGTCTGTATCTGCAGAATGGCCGTATCTGCAGAATGGCTATATCTGTAGGGCGGCTGTATGTGCGGAATGACTGCATTTGTAGAGTGGATGTATCCGGTGATTGGGTTTATGTGCAGAATGGCTGGATGTGCAGAATGGCTGTTTTGTAGAATAGCTGTATATGCAAGGAAAGTTGTATATACCGAGTGGCTGTATCCGGATAGTGGCTGTTTTTGCAGAATGGCCTTATATATATATTGGCTGTATCTGCAGAATGGATGTATCTGTAGAGAAGCCGTATTTGCAGAATGTTCGTATAAGTAGATTGGCTATATGTGCAGAATGGCTGTATATATATAGTGGCTAAACATGTAGGGAGCTGTATCTACATAGTGGTGGTATTTGCAGAATGGCTCCATCTGTTGAGTGGTTGCATCCGGAGAGTGGCTGTAACTGAAGAATGGCTGTTTGTGCAGAAAGCTTCTATTTGTAGAATGGCTGTATATGCAGAAACGTCGTATCTGCTGAGTGGCTGTATCCGGAGAGTAGCTGTATCTGCAGAATGGCCATATCATCTTTTTACGAACGATCCGCATACAAAACTTCAAAAATATTTGGGTCCGGTCTTTCTAGAAATTATATTTCGGCATTTTTAAACATGCACTTCCTCCGCCGACTAATGATTATTAGCTAATCAAGATTGTTTATTATGGCGCTGTAGTTCTTTATATATATATATTTAAATCTATAAAAGTGATTTTATGAAGGAAACTGCAAACGTGGGGCTACTGATCCAAAATAAAGAATTAGGCGCGGACCGAATCGAATATCCGAATGATCCGCATTCGGACCGCGTTCCGCCCGTTGAGTAGCCCTGGCCTAGATGACCTTAATCGGTCCTGCACTCCGACCCACACAAAACAATAATCAATCACTGTTATTACGGCTGTAATATTTTGCATGATGTATTCTGTTTATATTAGTATTGATTTTGTTTTTGAGGCAATACATCTCTCTCCCTTGTAATAGTTCAGTATTGTAAGATCATACTTTTCTGATTGACGACGATTAATTCTTAATATGTACACGAGGGATCCTTACGGATAGGTACGGGCTTAGCCGAGCACCGAGTTTGCTGAAAAGATTGTCTGACAAACGTGACAGAATAAAGTGTTTCCATATTGTGTTATTTATTTATCAAAAGTGTCCGCATAAATTTGAATATAATAGTAAAATTTTGAGTGGCAAAACGTGCCCAGAAAAATCGGACGATATATCTAAAAATGAATAGTAATAGCCTAATCTTTACAGACTAAAACACGGAAGTCAGTTGGTGGACAAGAATTTAGCTAATCGATCCAGGTGTTAACTTCATGACTTAACTTCCAATGTTCTGTGTTTAATATGTGGACGAAAGATCGAAATAAAATTGTATTGTAAACGTGAGAGCTATGCTCAAATATATGAATATGTAGCGTCATCTAGTGACAACTTTTATTGTTTTCATAGTACACACCAAAACGAATTCCATACAGCTCATCGGAATATTTGCAATAGCGAAAATTTATTCTTTAAGCACTGAAAATTTCAAAGAGATTGGTCCAGTAATCAAAGAGAAAAGCGTTTTTTTTAATATCGATAAGTAGAAGAACAAGAGAGCTTCGCTTAAATATATGGACACGTCACAAGGTGCCGCTATTTTTTATTCTGACATATAAAAAACGAATTTATCGAAGTCCACAGGAATTTGAAAAAAACAGAAAAAGTAATAGCCTTCTGGCGAAAATATCAATCTTGAATCACTGAAAATTTAAAAGCAATTGGTCCAGTATTCAAAGAAAAAAGCAATTTTGCAATGATGAAGAAAATGAACAAGAACAACAACAACATTATAACAAAATGATCGTTATGTCCACTAACTGTCCACTAACAAATCTTTCAAGTTGTACACCCCTATGGTTCACCCAACACTAATTTATACATTAATATTGTAATTTTGTTTTGGCAAAAAATTTTTCTACATTAGTATCATTCCACTTGATTTATCTTACTAGCACTCATATTCGGGTTTGTTTAAAAATCATTCTCTTATTGTGTGTTTATGTATAACTTCATCTCTGCATTATATTTTGATGTAATTTATATTTGTTATTTTGTTGCTTCATATCTTACTTTTGACATTTCTTTGCAAACAAAGCATTGATCACTATAAAATTCTAGAATGTTCTTCATTTACATTTAGTCATCTGAATTTGTGAATCTCAAACATAGTAGTGTGAGGGGGGAGTTGACTTTGATGATCGTGTGGTCGTATCACTCCCTCTTGTCTATACCAAATTATTTTATTGTTATAATTTCTATTATTTCGATGACTGCTATTCTATTTTGGTTGAAGAAATAATAAAAATCTTTCTCTGTGTCCAAAACTACAATGCGCTTGACCTCTCCTGCGATTTTCAATGAAGCATACAGTCACGTGCAAAAATATTGTCATGCTTGGTCAGTTTACACAATTTGCTCTCAGACTATTGCTGTTTCCGTCGACTTTCAAGGTCGCATTGCTGAAATTAGTATAAAATGGGAAATTCTGGAAGTAGCGACGTTACATTGGAACGAGAAGACGACAAATATGTATTAACAGGTGATGGGATTAAGCTATCTCCGGCCTTATTGGACCGAATGCTTAGCCAAGAAACGGAAAACGAAAACAACGAAGATGTCGAGCGGGTTAGAAAGGCGGCTGCTGATGTTATTGTCAAAGAGCGACAAAAGCTGGAGGAAGTCGAGAGGGTTGCAACTGCAACTCGAGAATTGCTGCAGGAGCGGGAAAAACAGATGACTGATTTGGTGGAAACTTGGAAGGATAAACTGGAAAACGAAAAACAAAAACATAAAAACTTTTATGACCTCACTATTCAAGAATTTGAGGACGCTGTCAATCAAACCGAAAGTAAACTTAGAAAACCTTCGTTAAAACCAATATGTGAGAGTTTTCGAGATTCTGTTTTACAGTGTTACGCAGAAAACCCCCAAAAAATTTTAAACTGTTCTAAAACTGTTGCAGAATTTACTAAATGCGTTGAAAATACAAAACAAGATCTGTTAAATAGGAATTAACTTTAGAGCAATTGCAGGTAATTTTTTGGTTCAGTGCTGTACACTATCACACTTGCATAGAATATATAACTTACGTGATAAAGCGAATTATCAGAATATTCCTATCTTGATTGAAGTGACATTATTCCTGTATTCTGACAGTTTAAATAAATCAAAATTTGGTATTTTAAATATCTTGATTCTGCTTGTTTCTTGTGTTATGTTACAGACTGCAAGATGCTGGTGACGACAAAAAGAAACATATTTTAAATGTTATTCTGAAACTGGAGAAATATAGAAAAACACTGAGGCACCAAGAATAATAGTTGTATTATTTCTATTAGCAGCATGACATGCACCTACTATGTCTTGTTTATCAAATCAATCAAACAATCAATTTATCCGGTAGCCTATTTTTTCTTGTGTTAACATTTACAATTGATATTCATACTTTAGTTGTTGATTATTGAATGACTATTTTATTGAATGTTTTCATTTCCAAAGTTTCATAATCTTCAATAATCAGCAGAACTCGAATAATTGTGTTTGCGTATTTCTCCATCTTTCTGCTTATGAGAGTGCTACCGTTAATTGATTGAAACATTTTATGGGAAAGGAAAATTTGTGCCATGGATTGCAAATATCTTGACAAGTACTTTTCTTTTTTCAGTAACAGTGTTGTTTTAAAATAGCTGAAATTATTGGGACACTCAGCAATATTTCCTATTTTAAAAATATGTGAACAATGATAAAACATCCACTGATTGGCTGGAAGCATGAATGCTACTTTCTGGAGATACACAACAAGAAGAAAACTGATTCTACTATTCTGCATCTTGGTACTTATTCTTGTAGTTTTTGAGATAAAGAAATCGTCATTACTTTATGGAACTAATAAGAATAAAAAACCCAGACAAATGTCATATTTTGAAACGGCAGAGGAGTCTCATGTAGAAGTTTATAATGGATTTTTAACAGAAGAAGCGGAGAAATGTGAAACGATACAAATTGCAGTTGTTTGTGCTGGATATAAAGCGAGTAGAGAAGTCGTTACTTTGATTAAATCTGTGCTTTTTCACAGACACTTGCCCATTCATATGCATTTTATTGTCGATGCACCTGCTAAGAAAATATTGGGTACTTTGTTTCGGACATGGGATGTTTCGGATTTTACGGTTTCTTTCTATCTTGCTGATAAATTAGAACCAAAAGTGTCCTGGATTCCTAATTTGCATTATTCTGGTGTTTACGGCCTAATGAAATTACTGTTATTGGATGTTTTACCAGTGGAAATTGATAAAGTAATAATTCTGGACATCGATTTAATATTTCTAGAGGATATTGGGAAACTCTGGGATCAGTTTTCTCAATTTGTTGACAACCAAGTAATTGGTCTGGTTGAAAACCAGTCGGACTGGTATTTAGGCAAAGTGACCAAACATCCTTGGCCTGCCTTGGGACGTGGCTTCAACACAGGCTTGATGCTTTTACACTGTGAAAAACTGAGACAGATTAAATGGAACGAAATATGGGAAAGTATAACGAAAAAAGAACTGTTGACATTTTCTGCAACCGCCCTTGCTGACCAAGATATAATAAACGCTGTGATTAAGGAACATCAAGATACTGTTTTTATTCTTCCCTGCTTCTGGAATGTTCAATTATCTATGAATACAAATTCAGAATCGTGTTATGGGAAAGATATATCAAGTATCAAAGTTCTACATTGGAATTCACCATTTAAAAATGAATTACAGAACATTCATGCCTCGTTGTTCCAAAACATGTTTTATAGTTACGCAGTGTATGATGGTGCACTATTGCGCAATCCTGTTGGCAAATGCACCGAAGTAGAAGAAAGCAGAGAAGAAATTAGCAAAGATTTTTGTCAAGAAATGTTGCATAAAAGTGTACAGCTGCGTAGAACACATTTATATTACCTTCCTTTTGACTACATTTCTTCCGATCACACAGATGTTACTTTAACTCTTCACTTATCGATAGATCGAATCCCAATGTTAGACATCATATGTAAACATTGGGAAGGTCCGATCAGTGTTGCAGTCTTTCTAAGCGATTCTGACACAATAAAATTACCTAAACATATTGAAATTTCTCCCACATTATCAAATCGTAGAAATATTGGTTTTCATTTAGTTTTTCAGAATTTTGATGATACTTCTTATCCTATTAATCTATTGCGTAATATTGCTTGGCAGCAAGCAGTTACTGAATTTGTATTTTTATGTGATGTTGATTTTTTACCTTCTGATAATTTATATGAGCATTTGAAAAATGCTGTCTTGCCATTGTATCCAAATTCTTCAAAGTTTGCTTTTATTATTCCTGCTTTTGAAAGTTTGTGGCACAAGTTTGATTTTCCGCCTTCGAAATCTGAACTGATAGACCAATGGGATAGAGGTGTAATAACACCTTTCCGATCATACATGTGGAAGGTTGGCCACGCCGCAACAAATTATACAAAATGGAGAACTTCCAATGAGATTTACTCGGTGAATCGAACAAAGGATTTTGAACCTTATGTTGTGTTACCGAAACATCTTTGTCCGGCTTATGATAAAAGATTTTTCGGTTTCGGTTGGAACAAAGTTTCTCATATAATGGAACTGGATGCTTTAGGTTTTAAATTTTTAGTTTTACCTTATGGTTTTGTCATTCACTTGCCGCACATGGCCAGTCTTGACGTTGTAAAATATCGCTCATCAACTGAATATAAGAATTGCATTGACAACCTAAAGGTTGAATTTATACAGGATTTAGTTGTTAAATATGGAGTCAGTGCAGATTTTTTTTATTAAAAGCCCGTCAAACAGTATTATTTGCTTATTCAGCATAATCTTTTTCACTTTTGAATATAGAAGCTACTGATTGGTCTCAAAGTCACTGAATTACCAACATTTTTAGCCTAATTAAATAAATGTCATCTTTTTCTTTGTAAAAATAAAACTGCCTTCATTACTGCGTTCCAAACTTGCTGGTCAAGTGTATATTTTTTTGTGAAATTTGTGTTATTGAAAGAGACTTTTATTAATTCTCATTTAACTTATGACAATTAACGAGAACATGGTGTATGGTCATTGCACTGATTTCTCTTCACTGTTGTCCATTGTATCATGTGGTAATCACCTTATTATTAACAATGTTTACATATGTCTAATATGTTGTTCATAAATTGGCCTCTGCAGCGGAATGTGTTGTAGTTTGCTCAAATGTCAGAGAACTATAAATAATAGATGAGATCCCAGATTAATATATGGGCTTGGTATATAAGGGCAGAGGTCATGTAAGCCACACTAAGATAACAAAAACTACACTAATCTTCTTGCATATAACCATCCCCATGAGGTTGAAACCTGTAGAATGTTATGTGTGGTATGTTCCTAACGCTCCGGCAGCTCAACAGATACATATTGTTTCGCATGAATTTGTACACTCGATATTGTGATATATATTCTTTTGTGTAGTCTTACTGACTATTGTGCTTTTTTGTATCTGTTTATTAATATTCATTTTGCACATTCATTTATATCATTAGTTGAAGAGCAATCCGTTGGAAAATGAATTTAGAGATGCTGAATATGTTATAATATCTTTTTTTATTGGAATACAGTTTTTATATTTTTAGGACATTTCTGTATAATACACGTTCTGCATTTTGGTATAATTGTCCTTTGCTGTGTAATTTCATAATAAGTGTTTGGTCATTTTAGAAAATAATAGCAAAATAATATTTTCAAATATATAATACCAGATAAAGGGAAGGGTGCTGTAAATTTAGCTATGGAAACTCTTTAAGTTCTACAGAAATTCACTGCAGTGTTGACTTCGATTGCATACTATAGACAATCTGAGAACGAGTACCCTTGTTTTCATTTTTGCTGTTCCGGTTAAAATTTTAAAAATCATAATTACAAATTACAATAGCAAACACACATGCGTTTGATATTGTTGTTGGTTATGCTTATGAAACCGATGTTGACATCCCAAAACACAAGCTTAAATTTTCCTCATTCTTGTTATACCTAATCATATTTTGGTGCTCCGGGAGTGTATGTACCAATCTGGCGGTAACTATTTTTGTTCTCCTACTTGATGGACAGGGGGTATATTCACTTGGCTAACACAGACAGTACCCGAACTCGTAATAGAGCTAAAATAAGGAAATCTGAATAAAATTATGCCTTAAGCCTAATGTGGTACACATACTACGGGAGTACCCATGTTTTATTGTCAATTCATATAAATTACTTTTTTACCGTCTTATCATTTTCACTGAAATGACTTTATGCTATCAGTTACCATCAATATGCTGGTATTAAATTTTTTGAACATATTGAACTTGCCTCAATTGTTGATTTGTGATAACGTATTATTCGACAAAATAAGTCTCAGCTCAAGCCCGAAAACAAAGCAAAAAGTGACAGCATCAGCACTTGCATATTCAGATAACATTATTCCGAATAGTTATGCTTGAGTTGTTTTTGGTGGTGGAGTACGAATGGTACTAAGGTAACCAGACCTCTAATTTATGTCTCGAATCATATTTTTATTTGTTCATGTTAAATAATGTGTTTTCTTACTTTGACTCAGTATTAATATTTTGTAACTCAAGTGATTTGTCTTGTTTTGTAGAAACTAAAATGGATAGAATAATTTTTACAAAGGATTTGTTAAAGATAGCAAATGTTAAACGATTATTCCTAAAATCCATCCGCTCTTCATCGAACAAAAATCCTCAGCTGCCTTTAAATGAAGAATGGATGGCTTTGGCAACAAAACAGTTAAAAGGAGCTGACCCAGATAAGAAATTAACATGGACAACACCAGATGGCATTAAAGTGAAACCACTTTATTCGAAAGACGACTCCAGCAACTTTGAAGATGAATTACCAGGTATTTTTCATACTAACCATCTAGGCCTGATATGGACAAACTATGGCCCGCGGGCCAACTCCAGGCCCAGGAACAAATCCGGCCCAATGGGTAATTCAATCTGGTCTGCCTGATGTTGCCACAACGCAAAAGCAAACGATTAGCTAAAAAAAAGCTCAAGTAATTTAATGGGATTGCAATTAAATTTAGTTTTCGCATGAGGCTTACTGTTTTCCACTTTTGCGTTTGTAACACTGTAAATATTGCGCTTAAAATGTAACTTTTTACGTCACAATTACATGGCCCGCCAGTCTAGGTGGGCAAAATTTTTGGCCCCCTGGTCCGAAAACCTTGCTCACCCCTGGATTGAACTGTTCTGTCTGGTTAAAGATCCCAGTCTCAATTCCAATATCCACTCCTGATTTATAAAGTTTTTGGGCAATGCCGAACCTGACCGACCCTCTTCCAAAAATAGCTTTTTCTATTTCAGGGACTTCTTGTCTTCCTTGTTCCTTCTATAAGCAAAACAAAAAATATTTACTAAATTTTCAGGCAAATATCCATACACCAGGGGACCATATCCCACGATGTATACAAACAGACCTTGGACTATCAGGCAATATGCAGGATTCAGCACTGTTGAACAAAGTAATAAGTTTTATAGGTGAGTCTGTTACTGCTTCTATATGTTTAAAAAGGCATGGGTAAAAATTCATAAGTTTTTTTTGCTGTTGTCGCTGCGCTAATAAATCTTGCGCCATTTTGCCCAGTGCTCTTTATTACTGTGAGGCTAAGCGATGGCCTTTCGCTAAATTTTTTGTGTGGTCCAGCTAGATGTCTGAAGTTGGTTATTTTGCCCACACCGCACACCGACAAAAAATGTTGCACACTCCTTTATTAGAACAATGTCTTGGCACTAAAGTTGGTAATGGCTATTTAAATGGCTTTCAGAGCTATGTTTGGAGAAAACTCATTAAACGGGTAAATTTACCATTCAAATTGAAATGATTTTCAGAGACAATATAAAAGCTGGGCAGCAGGGACTGAGTGTTGCTTTTGATCTGGCAACCCACAGAGGATATGATTCAGATAATATAAGAGTGCAAGGAGATGTTGGAATGGCTGGTGTTGCAATCGACAGTGTGGAAGACATGAAAAAGTAAGCTAGATTGATATTTGAATGGAATAGGAGTGGGTACAGGGTGTCCACCATAAAGTGTCCAATTTTGTTATGGAGTCAGTTCTCAATATATCTTAACCGGGTTTGTTGTTTTTCGATCAGTAATTGTTATTTTTACTTCATTTAATACATTTGTGAGGGCCAAAGCAATATATGGTATCGATAAATTCACTTTGCAATTTGAAAAAATTTAGAGACTTTATTGACACCCTGTATAATAAGTTCTTTCATGTGTTTTGAATGCTCTTTCTTTCAGTTAGTCCATCAATGACTGCATCATAGGCTCAAAATTTGGAGTGTCATGTAAAGTTTCCTCAATCCACTATGTAGCTATTTATAAATCCCCTGAAATATTTCCTCTGCACCGACCTTCTTGATACCCTGAAACCACTCATGAATCTAATAAATATACTCTATCTAGTAACATTGAGTTTTATTACAATTAAATATACGGTAAGTTGATGTGGAAGAGGGCTTTGGGAATTCTATTATTGGTTATTATATTGGTGACAATTAGAGCATTGGTCATGATTGGTATAATTTACCAATAGGCCTACCAGGACCTGGTAATAGTTAATGGCGTAGTGTTAGCACATTGGATTGGCCTGCCCCATGCCCATAATCTTGTACAAGGTTAATAAATTAGGTAACATACAGGTGGAATGTTACTGCTTGTCTTATTTGCATTGACATTTCACTTATAAAAGTCAGTGGATTGGATGTGAACAGTATATCTATTGGAATTTTTACAGGTTATTTGAAGGCATTCCTCTCGATAAGATGTCGGTATCAATGACAATGAATGGAGCCGTCATTCCCATCATGGCCATGTTCATTGTTGCTGGGGAAGAGCAGGGTGTGAGTGCTGATAAGTTAACTGGGACAATACAGAATGATATTTTGAAAGGTGAGGGAAATTTTTTGTCAAAGTATAACATGTCAATAATTGTTGCCTTCAAATAAAAATCCAATTTTGTGAATATTTTGAAAGGTGGGGGAAATTTTTTGTATATGTATAAGTATATGTCAACCATATTATTGCAGCGCACTTCCACCAAAAAAATTGTTGCCTGCAATTAACCCAATTTTGTGATCATAACAGAGCACTATGTAACCGAAAGTGAGCGACATAAAATAGTAAAATGAATTTATTGATTGAGTCATATACACAGCAAATAAAAATACATTTATAATAAATACAATATGTAAAATATTGGATCAATATTAGTTATGTTTAGCAAATCGGGGTTGTGCACTAGCGCCCTCTTTGGAAACCGCTGTCATAGGCCTTCCTTAAGATCTGCGATTATTATTAGCAAAAAGTGTTCTTTGCCCTTGGCAGGAAAGCATGAGAATTAGAAATTTCAAACTACAGACTATAAGAAATTTGCAAATACAACTTTACAGCTCTGTATATGTATATTTTTCACAGTGGGTCATGATTTTTATCAAATCAATACTTTGATGTAAAACTTTTTTCATTCAAAATATTTAAAACAATATTTATATCCCGCTAAGATTTCACTTTACACAAGCAGTGAGTGGTAAAAATTTCCATTTTCAACCACATCTATGGCCCAAGTCACAGAAGATGTTTTGTGATGCCGGTACTTTGTCCTGCAAAAATAACTTGATATTACCGGTAATATGATGCACCTTGTATGAATCATGTATTTGTTTTTCCAGAATTCATGGTAAGAAACACTTACATCTATCCTCCTGAACCATCAATGAGGATAATATCGGATATATTCGCGTTCACTTCAAATAATATGCCAAAGTAAGTAATACATACATTCTGGAAGTTGTGTTTGTTTGTTATAATCTGCTGTACATTTGAGAGCTAGCTCACATGCAAAGGCACATTTGATCGAGAGAGGCAGAAGTAATCGAACTTCAGTTCCCCAATATCATGGCATGTCTATGGCACTACGTTTTCTATTAATTGAATAGTGTGCAGTCCTGTACACTACTCAATCAAAATCTAATTGAATGATTTGAGCCCTGAAAAGCTCTTCACATCTGTATTTTTTTGGTAACATTTCTCTTTCAAATTTTTTTTCATGATTGAAGATTTTAATGTTTTTAGCATAACTCTGACTAATTTCACTTCCATCATCCAGCATTTTGTTCTATAATCCTCAACACTTTCACTGAACCCCTTCACACACACCCTGGTCGCTACTCCTGAAGTATGTGAACCAAGATGGCGGACATCGGAACGTAGTATGCATACCAGGTTAGGGTTGGGCCATAGTTTTTTTCCAATTTTTCTTATTTTAGTTCTATTACCGGGACTAGCCGAGTGGCTCTCGTAGTATTTGTACCTGAAATTAGGGCCTAACCCTAACCTGGTGCACATACTACATTCCGGTGTCCGCCATCTTGATTCACATACTTCGGGTAAACCCCCTGGCCATTCTTGACATCTGCACTATCAGAATTCATTTTCACCATAAGATTTATGTTTCAGATTCAACAGTATTTCTATCAGTGGTTATCATATGCAAGAAGCCGGTGCTGACACCGTTCTTGAATTAGCCTATACAATTGCTGATGGCATCCAGTATTGCAAAACTGGAATTCAGGTTAGTAAGTGTTCAATTTTGATTTATTTTCTTCATGCTTATTAAATAAAGCAAACCCTGATAGAATAGTTGCAAGCAAGCAATCTCTGAGAACTTGCACTATTCAGTCTCAATTAGTGGAGAGGGAAAGTTTGAGGTTTGTTTATTCAGGCATGAGCCATCTTATAAACTAAACTGAATTTTATTGAATTTATGTTCAATTGAATTGAGTTTATCTCAGATTTGTCTCATGTGGAATAAAATCTAATATTTCAGTATTGCTTCTCGAAAAAATTTGTTATATTGAGTAATCAAAGTTATTCTAATTTTCTTTGAAATCCTGGTCTATGTGCATTCATTATAATTTTTTTTAAATCAATTTAAATATTGATACTTCATGGAATATTTATTATAAAGCCTTTATCACCATAATTTCTCATTCCAATATTATTTTATTTTTTGCAGGCAGGTTTAGACATTGATAACTTTGCACCACGATTATCTTTCTTCTGGGGAGTTGGAATGAGCTTTTATATGGAAATAGCCAAGATGAGAGCAGCTAGAAGATTATGGGCTCACCTTATCACGGACAAATTTCAACCTAAGAATCCAAAATCATGTTTATTGCGAACGCATTCACAGACTTCAGGTATTGGAATTGGATGTTTGTATAGATCACTATGTATATATGGCTACTTTCTTTTGGAAGAAATGGAATCTTTCTGGTTCACCATTGGTCATCCGATTTATTACATCCTTGGTGAGGTCATGAGTATGGTATTTTATCCCAAGGTTTTCAACTTGCAATGTCAATACTTCAACCACTTTTGGCCATCGCGCATTTTCTCTGAAATTTTAACTCAAAATAAGATATTTCCAAATCAAAGTCATATTTTTGCTGTTTGATTTGAGGGCTCATAATGTGAAAATACAACTGAATCAATTCATATTCGTTGGAATAATTTGATTGGTCATACCAAAGTTGTGTTGTCTAACATTCATATTGAAAACTGTCAAGTTACAATCAGTGTATAATTAGTAAATGCCATTACTGTAGCCTGTATTTACTCCAATAAACTACCAACATAATTACACACCCGGCGCAAGGAAGTTCATTAAATCAAATAGTTTCACTGGCTTCTTATCAAGTTAAATTATTCCTTTGGGAAGTCAGATTACACCTTGGAATATCTCAAATTTTATTAGGTACCTAATTAGACTTCATCAGCTTCAGCTCATTTGAAGCAGTATACTCGTATTGGTTTTGCTAACTGCCTTTAATCTCAGCCCTCTGGGACTATCAATAATTAATATTTAGGCTCAGAAGGGATAGCTTTATTTTTACTATGCTTGCGAAAGAGGGAAAGTGGAGAGTGATTTGAAAATGTTTCTTTTGGCCCATTCCACCAGCTTAAAAATACCATGAATTTTATGACGATAGATATTTTCCTTGATGTAGCCCAGGGAAATGCGAATGTCATAGATGATCTATCATACAGATGATGACGGTTGGCAAACGGTTCCGCAAGCTAAATTTTCATGGCCTTCAATCGACTTCATTTTCAATGCAACAAAATTATCTGTCGACGGATATATGTCTTGACAATGACTGTTGGACAGCATTTGTAGTACGTAGCTGAACTATTGGTTGTAATTAACACAAAATTAGAAGTCGCAGGGGTCATATTTTGAAGTTTAATTTAGAAATCATTATGCATCCCCCTTTTTTTTTTTAAATGAAACTTGTTTAAACTGATATGCCAGATGAGTATGGGCCCCAGGAGACTCATTTCTGATTTTTTACTTTGTTTTGTAAAATGCGCTTCACACGGCTTACAAACTGGAGAATGCCATAATTTATATTCCAAATTGCTTTTAATTTAATTTTCTCAAACTTTAATCTATGACTTAGGCAAAATCTCTCACCATCCAGCAATATTATTTATGAGCAACAAATTGGCACTCGAGTTTTTTGTAAAAAATATCGTTCAAAATAGTGTCACCCACACATTTTTAAAAGACACTCATCTCTAACCGAAGTTAGAGGCAACCACTAAGGTGCTAAGTGCTACTGTGATAATAAAGAGCTATAACAGTAACTATAATATGATGAATTTGGTAGAGCTAAGATCTGAAGCCCGAGCCCGACCCTGGCCTGAAATGTCAACCATTACGTTCATGTCTGGTCGGGTTTATCTATCGCTGACTTTTTTTTTTAATGCGGTGTTTTGGCCGTGTTTTGGCCATGAGAGATCGTTGTCTGCAAAAAAACAGAAAATGCCTCATCAATACGACACATACTGTACTAAACTCTTGCAATGACAATTCAAAGAACTCATAAATAAAATATGAAATTTCAGGTTTTCTTCGGGCTCCCACCGGCATATGCAGTTAATTATTCAGGCTCGGGTTGGGTTTAATACCCACGGGCCTGGGTCGGGCCGGGCTGGAATTTTTGGGCCCGATCTTACCTCTAGAAAGTGGTTCATGTGCTATTAATGATATTTCAACTCATAAGTTTGTTTTTAAATCCATTTTCAGGTTGGTCACTGACAGAGCAAGACCCTTACAATAATATAATTCGAACTACGATTGAAGCAATGGCTGCAGTGTTTGGTGGAACTCAGTCATTGCATACTAATTCATTTGATGAAGCGCTTGGCCTACCAACAGTAACAAGTGCTAGAATTGCAAGGAACACACAGATTATTTTGCAGGTTAGTTGACTGTGTAATTTGGTGTGTCCAGAAATTTTGCCTCAGGGAAATTTGCCACAATTAGAGCAAATGGCTATAAAACAATTATTTGTGATAAAAACAGTTTGTAGGGTCAGGGTTAGGGTATGCTCTTAAACAACAGATCTTTTTATATAAAATGGTACTTCAAGAACCTAACTGCTTTTATCACATACTTGCTTTACAGCAAAATGCTCGTGTGGCGTTTTTTTCTATGCAGCGAAATTTCCTGGACAAATATTTTCAGATCCGTAATTTAGTGGTCTCGCTCAAATTTAGGGAGTCAGATTTAATCTGGTTTTGAGCTCCATTAGTAAAAACACTACTTGCTAGATTATTATTTATTGAATAGACTCGGCCCAAAATTGAGGTATTTGATCTTCATTGCAAGTGGGTCGTATGGAGTGTTCCACAATTTGGACCCTTTCCCAAAGGTAATTCTTGTGTGAGGAATCCTCTTGGTCTGAGCAAGAGTCGTATTTTCAAACTCTTCGAAATTGGTGCTAAAATTTTGACTCAGCTAGAGTTGTGTAGGAAGCATCTCCAGGCTAATCACGACAACAACCAAAGTTACCGTTTTCTACAAAAACTTGAAGCAAATTTAGTTGAGTGAGAGGTAATAACAAATGAAGAAGACTTGCATTTGCACCCACCAAACTTTTTATTTGATTTTCTTTAGAGTTTTTTCTAATTCAAAATTGTGTGTTAGATTCTAGATTTTTCAAGTCAGAATGTCTGTTCATTTTTCCAGAATCCACAGCACTTTATGCATTGTAATTTCAGTCATCAGTTTATAATTTAGTTATGTTTGTACACTCAATATCCTTCGAAAATCATCACTTTCATAAAATATATCTTTCAAAATTTTTACAAATTTTTTTTTTTGATTTTCAGGAAGAAACTGGCATCCCTCATGTTGCAGATCCTTGGGGAGGTTCATATATGATGGAAAATCTCACAAATATGGTCCACGATCAAGCTTTGGAGGTGAATTGAAATAAAGAAGTTCTTGCCATCTCATCAATTTTCTTAAGGAAATCGTAATTTTTTGAGATGGATAATTAATAAATAATAATTTGCACAATTTTAGACGCTCCAGAAGTGTGTGTACCAATATGGAGGTAACTAATTTTGTTCGCCTACTTTACATCAAGTTGTGCAAATGGACTGGAAACTATGGGCAGTGGGTATATTCACTTGGCTAACACAGACAGTCCCGAACTCGAAATGGAACTAAAATAAGGAAAATATGAATTAACTTATTGCCTGCCTAATCCTAACTTGGTAAACATACTATAGGAGTACCCAATTTGTTACTTTAATTTATTTTTTGTGGTTTTAAATTTCATTTGCAATTACCCAATTCTAATCCTACAACTGTAAGGTCCAATCATGTTCATATGTGACATGAATAAAAATAAAAGTCAATGTCAGAATATGCATTTCTGTAATTTTTCATTGTAAAACTACGGAAGATAACTTCAATCAAAGGTATTTTGTTATTTGTCTTCCATCAAATGTCACAAATTTATGAGATGTTCACATGTGTTTTTTTCCATTGTAATTATTGTACAATACCACATAGTAAATGTAATTACAGAAGTTGTTGAATTACATAGCTATATAGACAAAGATGTTTTCTTTATAAATTATATTATTTATTTAAGTGTTTGAATCATTTGCCCTCGTTGTCGAAGACCTTCTGCGTGATTCAGAGCAGTAGAAAATTTGGAAATAATATAAAACTAAACTAATGAGGTTATTTAGATATGTATGCCCTTACATTCGCATGATTTATATTATTTGTTTTGTTCCAGATCATTGAAGAAATAGAAAGTATGGGCGGAATGGCAAAAGCAGTTTCAGAGGGAATTCCAAAGTTAAAGATTGAAGAATGTGCTGCCAGAAGACAAGCTAGAATTGATTCAGGTAACTGACGAGGATGTTTCACTTGTCCCTGAAGCTTTAGGACATGGTTTTCCAACTGTTGGGGAATTCTGCGGCAGGAAAGAATTTTGTTGTTTACAGGGAATAAATACAGCAATATTATTTTTGTATTGATGTAGTTTTACTAGTTTTGTTTAGTTGTTTAGTATATTGCAATATATATTTATGGACAGGTAAAGTCTGTGGTCCACCATATGATAAAGAAATTGTAGATTCCTCGTTACCCCTCCCTCCTTCATTATATATACTTTTATAAATATACAATATTTAATTTATTGCTTTCCATTTCTTTAAGCTTCTGAAACCATTGTTGGCGTCAACAAATACAGACTTGAAAAAGAAGAAAATGTTGAAGTTTTATCGATTGATAATGCTGAAGTTAGAGAAAGCCAGGTATGTTGGTTTGTTATATTTAAATGTAGAATAGTTAGTCATTGTAAATTTGCTATTCAATTAATACAGGGTGACTCAAGAACCCAGAACCCTGGACATTTTGAACATATTCTAGAGAGAACATAACTTCTGTGCAAAGCATCTTAAATTACTGAAATTTTTAGGTACAATCAATCATACACAAACAGTGGTTCGAGGGTTAATAAATTTTCTTTGTTTTCAAAGAATTAGTTAAGAAATATATGGATTAGGCTTTGGTGGCACATATACAAATTACATTTCATATTGCTTTCTAAAAAAGTATAGGGGCTCATTTCTGATTGCAGCTAGAATTGCATGCGCATAGTGAAAATATATAGAACTCCTATACGTGTCACTTCTGGCTCTGTTGGGTCTGTATTATTCGGCAATAAAAATTGACACTTCATTCTCCTGATTGAACTCTTTTCCAAAAGAATTTGTTCAAACCGGGGTCACATGAACTCAGTAACACAACTAAAAAAGACTCATCTTCAAACAAAGTTGTGGCGACCCTTGAACTTGATATTGCTGCCCCTGTTGTGTTAAAGAATATTCAAACATATTATTTGGTGATAGGTCTGACATGGGCAAACTAAGACCAGTGGGCTAAATCTGGCCCGTTGAGTAATTCAATCCGGCCCACCTGATGCTGCCACAACCAAACTAATAAAACCAACTTTCTATGTTTTAGCCAAAGTATGGCTCAAGGAAATTGCTTACGTTGTGATTAAATTCAGTTATGGCAAGAGGCTTATTGTTTTCCGCATTTGCTTATGTATGAAATATTGCTCATAAAATGTAACTTTTTACGTCACACTTAGCCCGTCGGTTCAGATGGGCAAAATTTTAGGCTCGTGGTCAAAAAACCTTGCCCACCTCTGTGATAGATTATCGTTGGCTTCAAGGAAAATCTGGGATTTTGTTCAGATAAGAAAATTAAAAGAAATCCGCAAAACAAGAGATGAGGACAAAGCTCAGCAAGCTCTAACAGATATTACTGAATGTGCAAGGTGACATTTACTATCTTCTAGCGATTTGATGAAAGTTTTGAAAAAGATTACACTCAAATGCATGAGGTTGTGTTGCTTTGTTAAATTCTACAAATACAACGATGAGTTTTATCTTCGTACATCAGCGATTTTCAACCGTTTCATGAACCAAAACCTCAATGAAACATTTCAGTGCCTACCGGTAGTTTTATTGTCTGTATTGTAAGAACTATAAATACATATAAAAGCAAACATAATAAATAAAGTGCAAGAACAAGTATTGTAATACTGACAAATTCAATACGTATTTGATCACTTTTAAACAGTAATACATGTAGGTGCCACCAACCCCTGTTAAACACCACTGGTTTTTGTGCTGAGTGACTTATTACTTATCGATCTTGATCGGTAAGTATGTTGATAGGTATTTGTCTGTCTGTATGTCTGTTAGATGCACGCGATATCTCACGAAAGCGAGATTGAATCTGCTCCAAATTTTGCATGTGAATTCATTATATGTCGTACCAGAAGCCTATTGATTTTGGATGAAATATGTCGTATAATTAGCGAGTTATTAATTAATTAGTGATGGGACACACGGTGTCACTATGGAGTAAGACCACTGTTTTGGGGATCCCCTAACCTTCGATCGATAAGACTTCGGTTTCCAACCGAATTCTAGTTTGAATCATTGTTTGGAAAAAACATTGAAAGTTTATGGACCTGTGGTATTTTATATTTCATCACTCAGGTCAAAGGAAGGCAACTTATTAGGATTGGCAGTTGAAGCAGCAAGATGTCGTTGCACTGTTGGCGAAATATCTTCTGCAATGGAGAAAATATTCGGAAGACATCAAGCAAAAGATAGGATGGTCAGCGGAGCTTATAAGTATGAATGAACATAGAATACTTGTTTTACTAGTTTCCATTGGCACCAGGAATGTCATCTCATCATTTCGAAATCTTAGTAGTGAATTGTAGCGCATCATGGATTTAGGCTGGGTGCCTATGAACTAAGTTTGGATAAATTGATATTGCCTTTCTCTTCATTTATTGAACCAAACCCAAATATTCCAAGGCGGAAACTCTTTCTTGGGTGAAGGGATATCGCTTTTATTTGTTTTTAAAACTTTCTAGTACTTATTGTTTTATCATTAATTTACTGATTTTGAGGCCTAGGCTTCTTAAAGAGTAATTTTGAAAGCTCATGTTCATTGTAAATGATAATATTTCTCAGCCATTTTTATTCCAGCTATTTTGCTATTCGAGGGCCTTATTAACTCATAAGCTCGGAAAAGCAGCTTAGTAGGGAAAATTAGTAAACAATATATTTTTGATTTTCAGTCACTTGTAACTTTTATTAATAGAGTTTGAATTTGGTGAATTGCTACCATACCGGCTTGAAAAACACCTTATTGTTTGTAATATTTTCAAATACAATTTTTTTGAAATCACAAGATTCGCTCTTTTGCCTCGAAGCCATTCTGACTTTCCTTTCACTTTACATCCTGATTCGGCACTTTTATCTGAGTGCGCAATAATCTTCCAGTTTTATTCTCTGTCTGCACATTTGATGACATTAATGGGTACTCCCAAAGAATGTGAACCAAGATGACGGACACTGGAACGTAGTGTGTGTTTAGGGTTAGGCCACATTATCAGATACAAATACTACGAGAGTCACAAGGCTAGTCTCCGAACTCACAATAGAACTAAAATAAGGAAAATTGGAATAAAATTATGGCCCAACCCTAACCTGGTACACAAACTACATTCCGGTGTCCGCCATCTTGGTTCGCATACTTCGGGAGTATTCACTAATATATAATACATAGATAGTTATATCTGGATGTACATGCTTAAAGTGGAATGAATTCCATTTTGTGAAATTAAATACTTCGCAGAACATCCATCGACTGTATCATTATCCAACTACCGGTATATCATCTTTATGCCTATTTCAGAACAGAATACGGAGAGGATTCTGAAATTAAAGATGCTCTGAGAAGAGTTGACGAGTTTTCTGAGGAAGAAGGTAGAAGGCCGAGGATTCTTGTTGCCAAGATGGGGCAGGATGGACATGATCGAGGGGCAAAAGTCATTGCAACTGGATTTGCTGACCTTGGATTTGATGTCGATATCGGTCCTTTGTTCCAGGTATACGGTAGAACCTCTTCTTACGAATGACCCCAGATAGGAAATTTCCGAGTTACGAAAATTCTTCCTGTAGACATACTGCTCTGACTAATGAAATATGCTTTTACATACGAAAAAACCCGATAAAAATATGTGTATTGATATTTGCTTATTATATATTAAATAAAAATAAAACAAAAAGGCAAAAAAAATGTAACATTTAATTTCACCGGATGTGTGCTCATTTTTGTACATTACATACTCTTCCAGCTGTCAACTGTTTGCCGCCTTTGATAATTGTTTTATAACTACTCCATTTCATTTACAATAAATTGAATTTTAGTAGCCATGCGTTTATGTACGTAGTCTTTTATTAGCGTTATCAATGCTTCTTTTCGCAGACCCCATCAGAAGTAGCCCAGCAAGCAATTGATGCTGATGTACACTGTGTAGGCGTCAGTTCACTGGCTGCAGGTCATAAAACACTCGTTCCTGAACTCATCAAAGCTTTGAAAGAAATGGGAAGATCTGACATACTTGTATTAGCCGGAGGTAAGCCTGAGGTTTGGTGATGATTTCATATGTTTTATATCATTTCTCATAGCAAGGCCAGGGGCAAGCAAGCTTTGATCTGTATCGAGCAAATATGTATTTAAAACTAAACTCAACTAACTTTTTCTGATTTTGCTCAGCCTGCCTAATAGTTTATATTTATGCCTGTAGTTTTAGTCAGAAATCTCCAAACTGTAAGCCTAACTAACATGGTGTATTGATACGCAATGACATGAGGATGTCAACGCTGACAAAACTAAATAAACCAATTTGATTATGTTTAAACAATATGAATATATTAATATAGACCCGGGGAGGGCAAGGTTTTTGAACCAAGGGCCAAAAATTTTGCCACCTGGACTGGCGGACCATGTATGTGTGACGTAAAAAGTTACATTTTATGAATAAATTTTGCAGTGTTACAAAAATAAATGCGGAAAACAATTAGCCTCTTTCCAAAACTAAATTTAATCGCAATCTGAACAGTCAAAATAAAATTTGGTTTTAGTTGGGTTGCGGCAGCATCAGGCAAGCCAGATTGAATTACCTAACGGGCCGGATTTGGCCTGCGGGCCGTAGTTTGCCCATGTCTGATATAGACTCTCGGATTTGAATGGTTACTTGTGGTCTTTACTGGCATAGCCCTAGGGTTCCACACAAACTCTGTTGAAAATCACTGTTTAGTGGGTAAATCATAAGACTTAAATAATTTGGCATCATAGGTTCCACATACCATGCGCACCACCTCAGGGTAAAATAAAAAGTGGGTAGGCAGTGCAGAGACAGAAAGATTTTAGTCCTCTTAAAATTATAACTGTTTACTTATCGTTAGATATAAGTGCAAGCTTTTGATATTTGTTCGGAGCCCGTTGTATATAAAAATATTGTCAAAAGCTGGTAAAAATTTTAGCTCGGCCTGTTTCAAATTCCTTTCTGTACTGGCATAGCCCTAGGGTTCCGCACAAATTTGTTTGAAAATCGTTTTTTAGTGGGTAGATCATTAATTTGTCATTATGGATTCCACATACTATGCCCACCGCCTCAGGGTATAATAAAAGTGGTTAGGCAATGCCGAGCCAGAAATATTGTCAAAAGCTGCTAACAATTTCAGCTTGCCTCTTTCAAATACTTTCTTATTTCAGGTGTGATTCCACCGCAAGACTACGAATTCCTTTTTAATGCCGGTGTGGCAAGTATATTCGGTCCTGGAACTCGGTTACCTCTCGCGGCAATGGAAGTTATTGAACTTATTGAGAAGAATACTAAAAACCAAAAGCAATCAGTTTGAATGGTGTTTCTTATTTGAAAGAAAACTCTTGGAAGAACTCACAATAATGCACTTCTGTTATGAACTAAACTCTGCCACTCTGCCTGAAGTCGATAAGTTGACATTCTGAACCAGTGGTTTCCAAGCTTTTTCGCTCTTCTACCCCCTTTGAATATATATTTCAAGGTGACAGACAGACACCCTTGAAGATTTTCCTTGAATTTTGTCTAGAAATGAGAGTGCATTGGTGCACTGAAGAAGAAATGAGAAAATAGAATAAAATCCATATTAATCAAAAACGATAGCACACATTTAACATACAGGATATCATATTGGTAAGAGCGCTCAGCGCTGGAATGGTAGACCCTTGTCTAATTCTAGAATCGGTCAAACCTAAGCCTTAAAAATTGATATCCCGGGGTTTTTCATTTTTATTTTTTTCGCCGACATACAATATTTTACTTTCATTATTAATTAGGAGAAAAAATTAGTGATAAAATTCCACATGAAATTACTTTGCTTCGTGACCCCCAGGTTCGGAACCACTGTATTATAAAGGCTCAGCAGTTTGGTGTTTTCGTAGAATATATTTTGGATAGAATGATTTTATTGCCAAATATGTCAGCGCTATCGTTTTCATTTGCATGGGGGATGTATTATATTGAATATTTTTTGCCACTTCTTTTTTTCCCGGTTCACTGACTTAATCATATGTCAAACCAAGCCTCTTGTCTGGTTACCAGTCCAGGTCGGGTATGTGATTGGAGTTATTTGTTTTCGGAAGCATGGACTTATTTCACTTGCTATGCATATACATGCAAGTGTCCTCACCTAACATCAGCAAATTATATCATTTTGCTAATACTGATTGTGCTCTATATCAGATTTTCCCACATTTTTTGGGCTGCGGACCTCTGTTTGTGAATCTTAGTTTTGACAAACCACCATTCTAACTACACAAACAGATTCAGATATTTATTTTCATCATGCAAAAACAATGCGCGATATGAAAAATGAATAAATAATATAATGTAACAAAATGTCAAATGGATATCGGCTTGTTGCAGTTGACGCGGAGTCGCGAAAAGACTCATAGAGTCATCTAGTCAGCGACACCTTGTAGCTGAAATTAAGCAGCAAATATAAGAAACGGGACACTCAATATTACACATTCACTTAATAAATTAACACGATCATACAAAAAGACAAACAACATTGATATGATGGATGAGGTTACTTTACTGCACTGCACAATTCTCAGAGCAAGGTCCGACTTTACAGCAAGTCTCAACCTGTATGTTGTCATATTGGTAGTAGCTGAAAATACTGCCTAAAATTTTAATTGCCAATTCAGACAGCAATGTATATTCTTCCGCAACGTTCAACCAAAAAGATGCAACAGCTTCTTGATTGAAATTGATCAGACTCTTTCCATATTGTTGCGGACCCCCTGTGCAGTCATCATGGACCCCCGGTAGTCCAAGGAAACCCCTTCTCTATATTTCTAAATGTTTCGGTCATTGTGCAGATGCCATGCTTGTTTCTAACATGTGATCACTATCAGTGGGTCATGCGTATTTTTCTGTTGTACTCCTCGATAGCGGGATTTTCTATTTACGCTTAGTTGCTGTACCTGAGTAGTTTATTACTGTATATATATCTGACTGTGTAATTTACTGATATTGTGCTTATGGGTGGGAGTTCTATACATCAATATAGTCCTATTTCCAAAATTATACAAGAGATAAAAAAGATTTCAGATTTCTTCCGATTGAAGTCTATCCTTTTTCTGTTGTTATGTCAATCTTAATAAAGTCTTAAACGAGAATATCGGTCAGAGACCGGAGACTTGTCGATCGAAAGTTAGGGGATCCCCAAAACAGCGCTCTTACTCTATAGTGACACCTTGTGTACCATCACTAATTAATTAATAACTCGCTAATTATTCGACATAATTCATCCAAAATCAATAGGCTTCTGGTCCGACATATGATGAATGCACATGCAAGCAGATTCAATCTCGCTTTCGTGAGATATCGCAGGCATCTAAAAGACAAGCAGACAAATACCTATCAACATACTTACCGATTAAAAATATTTCAATATTATAATGTCCTAAATAAATTATATGAAGGGTCTGCCACTGGAGGCGCTATTAGACCATAATGCAATAACGTTGATAAAATGTTTTCAACAATGACTATTATTGCTCCAGTAGGCTTATCAATATATTGAAAGCCTTGAAATATATTTATCATTAAATATTTGTAGACTTCTTCATTGTTTTGAAAAAGGTTAGGTATTTCATTGTGAATTCCTGTCTATTGGCTCGATTAATTCAACATCCAGTCCAAAAATGGTCTCCAAAAAATTTAACTCATATACAAAATTAGGAGCTCCAGAAGTATGTGCACCAATATGGAGGTAACTAATTTTGTTTGCCTACTTTACATCAAGTTGTGTAAAGAGACGGAAGCCTATGGGTAGGGGGCATATTCACTTGGCTTAGACAGACAGTCGCCTGACTTGTAATATGACTGAAAATGGGAATAAAACTATGCCCTAACCCTAACCTGGTACACATACACCACGGGAGTACCCATAATTGAACCTTACTTCTTCATGTTACGATGTTTTATAGGTTCATGCAGATTCATGTTTGGAATCCACTTAAAATAATATCTTTCAAGTTTTGTGTTAATTTTTTTTTTCTCTGGCCTAAGGACTCAATGTAACTACGTGTTTGTGTTAATTTGCATCCAAAGAGTAAATATATCTGCGAAACGCCGTTTTTGTACTGAATATGAAGTTTTTCTTCATTATTTTCAAGTTTGTCTGGAAGAAGTTGAATTGAATAAAATTCCAATATTGTGTTATTACTATTTGTACTATTTCAAACATTATACGAATTATTATTATTCGAATTATACGAATTATTATTATTATTATTACATTATTCTTCTGACAAACAATTTGGTTTTTGAATTCTTGTGTGCGTTAGCTGGTAGATTAGGAAAATTAGGGTTGTGTAGCATGATGTAATAGATCTAAGTTAGTTTTTAAAGTTCAAACAAGCTTGGCGACTTTTTGAAGAGCGATTTACGCGCAGGCAGAAACAAGGTCGCTTTATTATTCATCGACTTCATGAATATCACCTTGATATAATCGTTCACAGTTTTTTACGGCGATTTGTAATCACGGCTATTTAAATATGTCTGGCCCATGATTGGGTTAACAAACGCGTACCTTGAACTGGTTGGTGTTGCTTTCGTTACGAAAAAATAAATTTCATCATCGGCCATTCCCGCCAATAATCTCCAGGGAAAAATTTTATAGTTATCGGCATGGAATTTTGCTTTGTATTTGATGTAGTATTATTCATATTATTTAGTTTATTATTGTTTTAATATTTTTATACACACATTATAACGACTTGAACTGAGCGAATGTTCGACTTGGCATAAAACGTTTGGTTACGGTAGCTGATTTATTAAAGATTGAATAAATAAATTAGTCTTATTATATTTTCCAAAATAGGCGAAGGGAAGAATTTAAGGAAAACGGTTGGGAACCATCTGTTGAGATATCAGTTTTAAATCAGTGAAATCACGCAAGCATTGTTAAAGTTCTTTTGTTAGGTATCGTTTTTCACCCCACTGTGTATCTTGATATGGCGGCACTTGTTTTTCCAATTCTTCGCACAAAAGAGATTTCATTCTGTTTTTATTTTGTGAATTATGTGAGTCTGTGAATGAGTTTCTCAAATATCAGTTGTCTTTTCACACGGCCTTGTTTTGAGAGGAAGACGTGGATAAGCGTTGTATAAATAAATATATACCAAAACATCTATTTTTTTAAACTGCAAAGAAGTATGTAACAACGTTTGTAATTCAAATTGGAGTGTGAGTAACAAATAGTAAAAATAACTCTATTATATTACACGAAAATATAATTCAGGTATAGTGCCATAAAAACTTGCCTGGAAAATAAAGCTTGGAATTTGAAAATCTTGAGAAATAGGTGAGGTCATTAAATTGCAAAGTCTATGTTAGAAGTGACATCAAGACTGAATTCAGCTCCAAACTCTGCATGGTCAGGGAGATCTAAAATTTAACGGATAATCACCCAGGATGTTTGTGTAGGAATTGTCGAATGTGTTAATATATAAATATTAGCTGTTTAAAAATTGGCAGACATCAGTGGTCGCTAGCATAGGGCCTTGTTCGGAGTGAAAGTCATGGATGAGTATAAAACAAATCAAATGTTTCCAAATTGCAAAATGTTTTGATAAGATCCGATGTCTTGCAACTAGGAAATATGAAAGTGAGTGAGGTGCTACTTTTATTAAAGTGTTGAGTGTCTTTCAAAATAATAATGACAAAAAACGCCACCTTGTATATACCAAAAACTATAATTGTTCATCTATGGGGCTGATACCATACATATCTTGATGTAAAATAATGGGGAAAAAATTGCCAGTAGTAGATAGTGGTTAGTTTATTTATGGAGAGAACTTATGAAAACTGGTTTCTGTCCACTAATTTCTTCGTTTATTAATATATACTCATCATAAACTATTCAGTATAGGTTATTATATTGATGTTAGATGAGGAGAAATCTACTTTTGAGTAATGCCTCAAATTGTATTTTGAGAACTTTAAAAGGACAGGTTTAAATTGCATATTTATATATGTCTGAAGAAGTCTGACCTTGGTCAGACGAAACGTTACAGAAATATATTTGTGTTAGAGTGCAGCAACCAGCAAGACTCTCGAATCACTTTAAATTGCAACCCTGTAGATTATATAGCTCAGCACTCTAAAAAATTAGATATTTCTGTCATATATACCTACTTACTAAAATCAAGAATTATCAAGGAGTGTAATCCAATCTGAAATACGATAGAGCGATATACTAGATTTTGCAGTATTATCAACAGTGAAAAATAATATTACCTTGCAGATAATAGGTAGGGATTGGTTTCATTATTTATTAAATATGTGAACATCTAGACTTGCGTGCCATGTGAGTGTCATGTAAAAGTTTCATTTATGAACAATATTTACAGTGTTACAAAAGCAAAAGTGGAGAACAATAAGCCTCGAGCCAAAACTATATTTGATCGCAATCCCAACAAAGTCCTTGAGCTATTTTTAGCTGAAACATTAGAATTTGGTTTTAGTTTGGTTGTGGCAGCATCAGGCGGGCCAGAATGAATTACCAACGTCCAGCTTAGGCCCGCGTGTTGTAGTTTGCCCATTCTACGCCTAGAATTTTGTGTTGTACCAATTTTAGAAGGGCCAATTTAAATTGCAAATCTTTAGATTATATAGCTCAGCACTCTAACAACTGAGATATTTCTGTCATAGGTACTTATTAAAATTGAGCAGGCCCGAAATCTAATAGCGTGATATAATGGATCTAAACTTAGGATCTAGATTTTGAAGGATTTTGACTTAATTTCTAAAACTTAGGGATCATCTCAACAAGAGTTTATACAAATATAGTAACAAGGTTGTTTCTTTATCAATAATCGAACTACGAGTATACCTGGTGGCAATCATATTTACGGCATGTTGCTCAGAGTTATTTGTTTCCATTTTCTATTCAAGTCTATCGAATATGTCTGGCCCGCTCTTGACATGTCAAAAAGTTCATGAAACTGATTTATGTTGGTACGGCAACAAAATGTCAATTATTATCATCAGCCATTCCCTTCAACTATTTCCAAGCTTGTCCAAGCAGTATTCCACTTTAAAAATGTTAGTAAAACATTTGAAGCACTATTTTGCTATAAGTTCTATAATGCGGCTTTGTTATAAGTTCTTTTGTTAGATATTAGTTTTCACCCCATAATGTAAATCAGTATGTCGACGCCTGTTTACCAAATCTTGGAACAAAAGAGATGTAATTCATTAATTATTTTGTTTGTTACTGATGTATGATTTGTCTGTGGGATATTTTTGTGCACAGAACACTAGTGGCTCTTTGTACACTCCTTGTTCCAGGTGGATGACTTGATTAAGATATATGTATAAGGATATATTTAAGGAGTATTCTTAATTTTTTATATGACTTCATTCTAAAAATTAAATAAAAGGGTGGAAGTAATTCACAAAATAAAATGAATTGAAAAACTCCAATCACAAACCTCTACTATATTTTGTTAAATATAGTTTTAGATATAGTAGTGTCATTTGAACTATCTTATTTCAGACAAATTGAGTTTAGACACATTAATTATAAAATATGCTGAAAATTGCTGATGTCTGCATACCCATTTTTATCTTCATCAATTTAAATGTGGACTGAAAACTACTTGGAAAAGTAAAAAGCATCAAATACTTGTTCAGGCACATTTATTCTCATAGTTTCCAACACTTCCAATAAGAAACATGGTGAAATGTATGAACATTTCAACTCGCATTTCACCAGAACATTCCAAAATTCAATTTATTTGATAATAAGAGCACTGAGTAAAACTGTTTTCGTCCACTTAATTGCTTCCTTTAACAATATATATCCAGCATAAACTATTCAGTATAGTTTTTTATAATGATGTTAGATGAGTAGAGTTCTTGGAACAGGGGAACAGGACCTCGGGTCAAAAATATTGCCCATCTAGATTTGCGGGCCATGTGAATGAGATGTAGTTACATTTTAGGAACAATATTTACAAGCTTGCCCAAGCAGTATAACACTATGTTGCTATTAGTTTCATTTTATAAGTTCTATAATGCTGGCTTTGTTATAAGTCCTTTTTTAGATATCAGTTTTCACCTCACAATGTATTTCATTATGTTGACACCTGTTTACAAAATCTGGGCACAAAAGAGATCTCATTCATTTATTATTTTGGAAATTATATGATTATATGTCCAGGTGATTTATTTTTGCACACAAAATATCGGCGGCTCTTTGTACACGGTCTTGTTCCGAGCGGAAGACGTGAATAAGCGTTCTGTAAAGAGATATTATTATATTTTCTATACAACTGCATTGTAAAAAAATTAAATCAAAGCGGGTGAGATAGGAACAAAAGTAATTGTGAAATTTTAGTAACAAATACCTTAATTATAATATTGGAAATTATAGTTTTAGATTAGTTTCATAGGAACTTGCTAAGTATAAAAAAAAAAAAATTAATTGAAATCCACTCCAATGGATTATATTTTTGCATGACAGAGTTATGGTAGAAGTGTAATCAAGACCGATTCCAGCTCTCAACTGAATTCTGAAGCAAAAATTGACCAGGTCCCTCATGAAAACAGAAACGACGTGAAAATTATGCCTTCCTATAGCACATACAAAAAGTATGTATAATTCGGTCTATCTTAATTGTTGTAACTGAGATGTCACTCACTACAAGTCATCCCTCGTCTCTATGTTTAATAGTGAGAATAAGAATAAAGCTTTTCAAGTAATTAGTAGTTAACAAATTATCATTGGTCATCGAATGTGCTGATGACTGCATATTAATTTATTATTTTATATCGATTTAAATTTGGAATGAAAACTTCTTGGAAAAGTATAAAGTACCAATTACTTGTTAAGTGACATGTATTCTCAAGGTTCTACACCAATGGTTATCAACCAGTGGGCCATGGTCCGCTGCTGGGCCACGGAACGATTTGAAGGTGGGTCAGAACTATTAAAAATTGCTAGTTTTATTTGTATCACTATCCTTAATTTTGATCGTTGTACCAATATTTGATGATGCTATTTTTTGCTATTGAATGGTAATTTTCATTATATTATTAAAGGAAAAGTGTCCATTTTTACAGTAAGATTTTGATTTTTCTTGTAGTTTTTCCCTCACAATAAAAATTTAATGGACCACGAGAATTTTTGTGCAACGAAAATGGGCCACAAAAGAAAAAAAGGTTGAGAACTACTGTTCTACACCAATGAACAACATTTTTAAGTAGAAACATGATAAAATGTATGAGAATTTTAACTTGTCTACCTTGTTCCAAAATTCAATTTATTTATTATAAAAGTAATGAGTGAAATTGGTTTTCTTCTATCTAATTGCTTCCTAGAACAATATGTGTACAGTATAAACTATTCAGTATATTGATGTTAGATGAGTAGAAACCTCATTTAGAGTAATGCATAGAACAGGGGTGGGCAGTATTTTTCAACCTGGGGCTAAAATTATTGCCCATCTAGACTTGCGTGTAAGTGAGACGAAAAAAGTTACATTTCAGAAACAAAATTTACAGCTTTACAAAAGCAAAAATTGAGAACAATGAGTTTTGAGCCAAAACAAAATTCAATCACAATCCCAACAAAGTCCTTGAGCTATTTTTAGCTAAAACATCAGACAGAATTTCGTTTTAGTTCGGTTGTGGCGGCATCAGGCAGGTCAGATTGAACAACCCATCGTATCAGATTTGGCCTGTCCATAGTTTGCCCATGCCAGACGTAGAATTTTGTGCGGCACCGGCTTGAAAGAGACAGATTTAAACCGCAAACCTATGGATTTTACAGCTCAGCACTCTAACAATTAAAATATTTCTGTTATAGCTAATTATAAAAATGGATCTCATAGTAATGTATGATAAAGATGACAAGACGTTTGCCAGGGTATCCTGGAAAAAGCCATCATCAACAGAAGATTTACCTGACACAAGGTATATGTCACAGTTTGTAAGATTGTATTTAATAATTAATAAAACTTGAATTTTAAATGGCTCCCATTTTGTGGAAACTATCCTAATAACTACCGTAATAATCTTTTAGCGAAGGAATTAAATTACAACAAGATAAGAGAATGCTGACTGTTTGTGGCCATTAATAGCAATGCGATATTAATATGACATATGCTCTTGCTTAGATGAACACAAATCCTCTGTTTTGGTTGGAATTCTGGAAAGGCAAACACAAGTTTTTTGTCAGATTTTATAAGTGTCTCCAAGATTCAGATATAAATAAAATATGCGTGGAAAACTTACTCTGTATTTCTACCATTGACTAATTTTAGTGCCTCTTTTAAGAGCTGACTTTTGCAAACTGTTACAAATTTTGAAAATCAATATTTTGTTCTTAAATATCCAAATAATTGCCATTAAAATACGGAACCTAGTCCAGTAATATATCCCAGCATTTTCATAATAATTTTTTTTAAATTCAAGGCAATCCAATTAAATCGAAGTTTCCACGCATGGCCCAGGTTTAAGCATTTTTTTATATCAAGACAAAATGGCCGCTTGATTCAAACCTAAATTCAAATTTCAATTGTTACATTTCTGTTTAACATTTTGCTGTTTGGCCATTGTTTCCGATATAAACTAGACAGTCTATTCCTAGAAAAACTTTTATTACATGTAACAGAATCTTCTTAAAATCTGAATACCTGCTAGGTGAATTCGGAGTTCATTTTGTTATCATAAAATATGCCAAAATATAAAAATAAGTTTAGGGCCAACAATTTGATGCAGGCAACCTGAAGGTCTCTCACAGAACACCAGTGTTCCACGGAACACCAGTTGAAAGTCACGGGTGTAGACTATAATAATATAACTCTTTGCTCCAAATATATTGTGAGAGATTGATTGGCCAGCTCAAGCTGTGCTAGAAAGTTAATTCCTTTTCTAGCTATCATATATAATATTGGCTCTCTGTCTCATATAATACAACTTATAGACTAAATGGTGTTTCAGTGTTTGGAAAAATTTTTTCTGAATTTGAATCATAATTCTTTATTTGCATTCTGGGTGCAAAGGCATAATGTATTTATCAACTTAAATGTTGCTTTCAAATTTTATTTGTTAAGCAGAACTTTGTGCAAAAATTGCTGGGGTCAAACATATTCTTATTTCAAGTACCCACCTTGAATTCAAGGAAGAGGTTTGTTCTTTTTCATAGAATAACAGTTGGCTTACTTTGGCAAAATGAATAAACGTCGTTTTAATGAAACTGATTTAACAAATTTTAAAATAATTTTTAAAAATAAATTAGTTAGTATTAATTAAGGTACTCCCGTAGTATGTGAACCAAGATGGCGGATACTGGAACGTAGTATGTTTACTAGGTTAGGGTTAGGCCATAATTTCAGGTACAAATACTACGGAAGTCACTTTGCTAGTCTCCGAACACGTAATAAACTGAAATAAATAAGAAATATTGTAATACGTTATGGCCTAACCCTGACCTTGTACACATATTACGTTCTGGTGTCCGCCATCTTGGTTCATATAATACGGGAGTGCTTTAATTAATTGACGTTCTAACACTGAATATTATGTTCAGAAGCATCAACACAGTATATAGGATTTGCTGGTGGACAGATGAATCAGACAAACAGCAAATTGAAATATTTGGATATGAATATTATTTGACAAAACTGAAAGAAGGCACTACTTATTTTGTCAGTGTGATTAAAGTCGATAATAACTGTCCCAAAGAATCTGAAATGGTCAAGTTTCAAACTGGTAAGCATGACATTAAAGTAAAACAAGTAGATGACATTATACACAAAATTGATTTGGTATAAATACCTACCTACACCTATACCTTTGACAATCCTTTTTGTTGCTGCAAGGTATTCCAAGTGAGCTGCAATTTTGGAACATCTATGATTTCTACAGTTGAATTTAAAATGGGTGCTTTTACTTTGTTGCGTCACATAAAGCTTTTATTTTGTGGGTATCCCATAAACCTCCAGCAAATTTCTCACATAACTTTAAACAACATTTCAAGAAAGAATTCAGACACATATAAGGAATTTTATTCATTTTATATTCATGAACACCAATCAGCTCATGGAGCTTTTATTAACCATTGATAGTTTTCTGGATTATGAAAATCATTGATGTCCTATTAGTACACATAACAAAAAGTCAGATTTTCGATATGCTCATTAAAAAAGTTTGAGAAGGCAAGAAGTTGGAGGCCTGTTAAAAAAAGATCAATAACCACTGGTTTAGGACAATGGTTCCCAAACTTTTTTTCGCGACCCCAATTTTCGTAACATCAAAGCCTACAGATCCTCGCGACCCCACAACTAGAAACGTTGAGCATTTTCGAAAAACAGTACTGTATATCAGTTTAATTACCTCAATGGAAACAATGCACCATCTATATATCGCCTGCAAGTAGACGTTGACAGTGAACATTGGCCCAAAAAATATATGAACATGTCCGGCCATGTGCCGGAAAACCCCCAGAAGATTTGATAACACTTGGTATGAAAACCACAGTGTAAAAATCTCTTAGATCAGAATTATAACGGTTCTTTGGCGAAACATTGGACGAATTTGTGGTAGATTTTGAATGTGGTAGATTGTAAAAACACGTGCAATACTTCGGAAATAGTAAGATTGCTTCTGAACATATATCAATTCAAAATCTTATTTAGCAGTGTCTTTATTATTTGTAGGTAAATGTTGACATATTACAGATTGCTCCATTATTAATTCAAAAGTAAAAAAAAAACATGGAAATAAAATAGGAAAAAACGTGTACGAAATCATATCTTTTAAGTGCCTTTTATTACGCTCGAACTTGTTGTGGTTTTGTGTTTGACTGCTCGGAACGCTTCAATATTATATATGAAATGTCTAACTAAGTAATATTGCAATGCGAAGATGTTCACTTTATGTGGAGGCGATGTGGACAAAACACATAGCCAACTCGTAGATTTTGGACACGTGCGGAAAATAACAAAGCGCTCTCGGACCTGATCGAAACCTAAAGTGTAACTATTCGGCCAAGACACTGCTGGCAATCAATAGCATACTTGTCAAAACCTAACTAACTAAGGGCTAACCACCAAATAAAGCAATTTTGCTTGATATATTCGATAACCAAGCGATTATGCTAATACAAAATATTTAATAACAAACCAACATAACTTCTCGCAGCCGGGCAAAAAATCCGATTTGCGTACCAGCGGATCAACTACTCATGCGGATGCAACATGATCAAAAAGCTATAAAAAGGAAAATATTATTGGCGCTCGTAACACTATCACTCAATTACATTTACTAATACCGGTATCTGTCGACCAGCTGGAAAGGTTAAGTACCACATGAAAGTTTTACCAAGCAATTTTGGCGCCGTTTGGACAATATATGGTCGAGTTATTGCTGAAAAATACGAATTTATGCACTTTTACCGACCAACACAAATTTCACTTTCCAACTTTCAAATCCTATTCACTTGTGTGCGCATGTTTCACAGAAATTAGGGCGACCCCTAAAAATCTCCACTGGGGTTGCGACCCATAATTTGGGAACCACTGTTTTAGGATATGTATCATCCCATATTTTCTTCACTCTTTCACGCATGTTTATTAAAAAAATTTATTTAATTTTGTATTTTCCAGCACCGAATCCACCATCCAACTTGTTATTATGCACAGTACGAGCGTATGACACTCCATCAATCAGTGTCATGTTTGATTGGCCTGCCGGGCCTTCTGACTTTTTCATCATTGAAGTGAGGTCAAAGGAAGATCTGATATCATCTGTCAAGTCTTATGAAAAATCTGCTCTCATTCAAAATCTGCAATCCGCCACTGAGTATGCTGTATCTGTCTTTTCAGTATGGAAGGGTTTGAAAAGCACCAAATGTTCATCCACTAACACTATATATCTAGGTATAATTTACTCTTTGATTTATACAATGAAATTGAAATTCATTTTATTAACAATACAGAATATTGTCAGTAGTTTTTTTTTAAATTGATTAATTTGTCCAGCTGACTTATAGCAATTAAATAATAAATTATTAATGATGATAAATTTTTTTACCATTCTTAAAATTTTCTTGTTTTGGATATACCGTAATTTAAAGTAGATATAATTTTTGTATCAATTTGCTCAAAGTGAGGTTTTGGGCCAAACTGAAGGAGAAAGAGTTTCAAGTGACTACTTATGCACTATGCTCATACATATGTGATGAAAATGCACTTTTTATCCTGCAATTTTATATCAACATGCAATAAAATAGTCTATATCAATAATATGTGATAAAAAATAGCACAATGCTTTTTTATTTGAATAAAACAGCTCTATCCAAAGTGAAACAACTTTCCTTGTCAAAACTTTCTCAAAGTTCTGCCACAGTAACTTAGGAACAGAACGACGAAGCTACAATGTATGAGGTATCTCTAGGAAAAAAGGATATGAAATTCGTATTACCAAGCAAAAACACTAAAAATTGTGAGATTGATTTGGATGATTTGCAACCGAATACTACATACCACATAAGAGTTGCAGCTTTAATTCAATGGCGGAAGGAGACTTCTCTGATACCCTAATTTTTGAAACAGGTATTTTGCTTTGTACCAGTTTAAGTTCTGTGGTGCATTAGAACTGTTGTCATAAAGTTAAGAACAGTTATAGATTGGAACATACCACATATCACAAAAATACAATAATATATTTTTAGAATGGTTTACAAAATATTTTAGTTCATTGGTAAAAGCATGTTCGGTGTTTGGCGTCAATTTCTTTATTATTTCTATTAAAATATTATATTCTATCTTCACAGAAGAGTAACTTCATTTAGTAAAAAAAATAGTAAGTTTTTGCAACATCATCATCAGAAAGGAGTTTCAGTTCAATATGAACCAGGAATTAAAGTCCATAACTTTGACTTAGATTAAATGATTATAGCTTAATTCAAAATTTGACATTATTAAGGGACATATTGTTCATTGTAACCCACTGCAATTTTTGTTATCGAAAGCACTGAATTCTTGATTAATTTATTACAGCGCCTTCGCCACCAGTTGACTTGAAGTATGAAATAATTTCTCTTACTGGAGCAACGCTGGCATGTAGTTCTTCCGGTGTTATTCCAGATGAATACATATTCAATATCAATGGTGTGGAGCATACCACAAAAGAATCAAAATTCACATGTGATGGTGTGGCCTTTGTTTCTTTCAATGTTCGCGCCATTAATCGTGCTGGATCCAGCCCTCCTTCAAGTACTTTGGAATTCAGACATTGTGAGTATGATCAATAATACCAGGTTGTATTTATGCGGTGTTTCTCAATGTATGGCACTGGCAACCAATCATAAAGCATTTTTAAAAATTTATCATAGTTATCAACAAGGTTTTCCCCATGCATATTTACTCTAAACTAGCACTGTACAAGCAATTTATTCATGCCGTTATGATAATTAAAAAATGAATGCTTAGAAATACACTTGAGTATTTCAAAACTAACTTGTTCTTTCAAAGACCTGTTTACAAACTATAAATTACTAAAACAATCTCAAAATAGGCAGCTAAATACCAATAAATTTCCCACTTCAGCGCCACGACAACATAAAAAAAAACTTGAAGGATATCATTGCCAAAAACTTAATTAAACCATGACTAGATTAGATTAAGATAGGATATACATACTGATCCCACGGGTGAGGAAAGCCGATAATACGACTTCTCGCCCTTTTACCAGTCCAGGTTGGTAACCACCTTACGGCGGCGAGAAGTCCAGCAATCCTCTCGCACATAACTATCCCTGCATGGGATTCAGACCTGCAAACCCATGCAGAGTAATCAGAGGTGCGATGGTAAGCGTATCCGTAGCGCTTAGCTCGATAAGCCATACCGCCGCGCCGCGATTCCAGAAAATAATCTCAACGAAAATCAAGGCATTAGCATTCATCATTTTTGAGTTCAGCATGTGTATTGAGTTCAGCATGTGCTTGTATTGCAGCTTTTACGCTGTACAGAAATGCCTAGGCGGCAAAAACTTTGACTGCAAGTCTCACAGAATTTCTGTCTGTGTGTACCAAAATAGTTAGATTTTTCTAATAAATCAAATCTCTCAATCACATTCTTGGATCAGGTCGTGAGGTTCTTCATATCGTTCAGCAATTTATACTTGGGTTGAATTACAATCCGGTATTAAACACGTAATGTGAGTGTAAATGCGCAAAATTAGCAGCGAAAGCCCTAAAATATTTGTGTTCCAATAACCTGATAATTTTTTAAAAAGGATCCATATCTAAAAAAGATTGGAAACCTGTTGCAGTGGCCAAGGATTGGGAACTATTGACAGAGAATTGCTAGTTTTGTTGGAACTTAGAAAAATAATTCTACTTTGAAATAATGATGCTAATTATTGAAGATAATTATATTTTAAACATTTTTCTAGGTTTGATAGCACTTAATGCAAAATTTCAAAGTGATGCTCGTACGTTTTTGCGTAAAGAAGATTATATTTTTCCTGCAATCACAAATGAAGCAAATGGCCATTCTATTAGATATTTCAATATGGAGACAATTCATGATGAGAGTGGAACTATATGCCTAATGGGTGAGCATTTAATGGGAAAAACATCTTTCTGCTATTATTTGTTACAAAGTCTTCCAGACAATAAATTAAACATTTATTTGGATTTCAATAAAGTGAAATATATTGAGGAAAAATATGATGTTAAGTCTATTTTGCAAATTTACATGCAAACTTTCTCTAAAGAAGAAATGGATGTGATATACAACTGGATGAAACATAATCCCCATCAAATTTTATTTGTATTGGACAACATCGGCTTTCTTGACAATTTTAAAGAGGAAGGAATATCACATGACACAAAATATTTGCCCTCACAGTTGTTCTACAGCTTATCAATCGGTCATTTATTTCCACGTTCTCAAATACTTTGCGCCACTTCACAGGAATCCTTGCAACATATACTTAATCCAACTATGTTTTTAAAGTTGGAAGGTTTTGATATTAATGAAATTGAAAATATGAAGGAAAAGGTTTGTGGTGAAGGAAAAACAATAAAAATACCAGATTACATCAAACCTTTCCTCAAAAGTCCAGGATATTGTAAAAGAATTTTCGAAATTCTTAACAGTACATTACAAGATGATGTTGATATCACATCAACTGCTTCAATGTTTCTTAATGTATTCTCACACAGCTTGATGCGTGACAGAAGTCAAGTATGCAAGAAAAAAGTCAATCAATTCGTCGAGGAAATAATGAATGTAGAAACACCACATTCCGGCCTACTTTTCAAAAAATTAACTACTGAACATCATTTAATACCGGTATCTCACTTTGACATCAAAGAAGTACCCTCATATGATTCCGAAAAAGTCTCAAGTTATACTGAAAACTCTACATTTAATCAAAATACTAAAAACCAACCACAATTTGACGTTGATTACATCATTAAAATCGCAATTCATATTGCTTTCTTTCTTCCAGAAAATCTATTCAAGAAATATTTTCGAAAGGAAAATTATAAATTTGGCAGACATGTTCACTCATGGTTGCTGGCATTTGGTCTTTTAAACCAAGAAAATCTAGACAGAGCGAAAGAGGTTTTTGGAGGAATTAAGTTTGAGGACACAGAAATCAGAAGAAAGCAAAAAATAATGAAAGTGTTCATCAAAAAAAATATAAATAAAATCTTGAAGAAAACATACCATGACTCACAAACTGTTTTGAATTGGCTACAATGCTGCAGTGAAATAGGATACAAAGAGTTACCCACCATAAATATTAGAATTACAGCATCCGCTCCTATTTTGGAAGTGATGGAGGCGGCCCCTTTGTTTGAAAAATGTACAAAGAGGATTTTGTCAAAATGTGAAAGTCAAAAAACATCGAGATAATTCTATACAGACGAACCTGTTGATCGATCAAGCTATAAGGGAAAATGAATATGCAGAGGTTAGCATCAAAAATGGCATTGGGTTTAATAAGTTTTTAGGAAATGCAGATTTTCATGTCATTGCCTATGTTGCAACTGTAAAAATTTATACCATGTTAGCACCTTTGTCATATACAATTAATTTTGGGTATCATATCTTTGGGACTAAAATATATTATTATCGTTTTGTACTTCACATATTCTTACGAAATTAAGTAGAAAAAGTTGAGCTGACAAGTACAATACCAACAAAATTAGAGTGGACTAAAGTTTGATTAAACTCAAAGCATTGGAAATGAGAGAGATCCTGATCTTTTGCAATCTGTGTACTGTGGCTAACACATGCAATGTAATTGAGTATGTTGTCCTTCTAATGGACTTATAGTTCAATGCAAGAATATATGTTAACAAATAATATATGAAGTTATGTTGGAAGTGTGAAAAAGAATAATTATTGTTCACTTCACAGACCTAATATATGATCAAAGGGCTGTTTGACCCAATATTCTAAGATGAGGATTTATATACAGGCAATTAAACTATTACTCTGATTTTTCAGTTGATATCTGAAAGCGTCAGGACAACAACCAGTTTTTCATCATTCAGTATTCGACCATTCAGTGTCCAGTTATCAGGCAGAAAAAAAAGATTATTATCAACAAAGGATTCGGATTTTGAAAGAGAATACATAAAAAGAGATGGTTAGTTTAAGCTTTTTGAATCTGTCAAAATATGACAAAATATAACTGCAATAATTGTTATTTCAATCTAGGCTTGCGATTGTCTAATCCGTTCTTCGAAACAACATCCTCACAATGGGAGGAAAAGGCTGCATATTTATCTCATCCCCAACCCGTTGTTCAAGAGCCACAATGGGAAATTGAAGGTGAAGTTAGCTTTGTGTAATATAGACCAGTGGTTCCCAAACTTTCTAGAGTTGCGACGCACTATTTATTACCACAGCTTATGGCGACCCACTTAACTTGAAGTTAATTTTTTTTTTCTATGACATAACACAGAACACAGCAATGACTAATCACCGCAAAACTACCGTGTTTCCTCGAAAATAAGACCTGGCCTGAAAATAAGATAATAATTTAAATTTTTAAAATGATTTTTATTAAACCCCACCCTTAAAATAAATTTAAAATGTGTGGTAGAGGAAAGGTTTAATGACCTGAAGTAAGGTGAAGATCACACCACTATTCAAGATTGTGTGATATCACAATTATGATATTTGTCACTCGAAATGAAAACAAATGAAAACAATGGATGTCGGGTTTTATATAATGTTTAGTAAAAAATCTTGTGATTTGTTACAATGTAATTTTATTTTTGATAAATTAAAACAAAAGACCAAAACATAGTGTTATTCTTCAAAAGAAAAAAATTTAAATCCTGTCAAAATTTTGGGAAAACACGGTAAGAAGTGGTGTAGAGTAGAGTGTACAAAACTGTTATGCGTAAAAAATCCACATGGTCATTCTTTGTGTAACAAATTTTTGTTCCTTTGAGAAGATCGTAAAGAATGAACTTTCACAGATGAGAATTTAATTTCAATTCGAGTCACCACCGATCCTAATAACCAGTACAATTATTTAAAGCTTTCTACATTTTTTCACGACCCACTAAGATTCCTTTTGCGACCCACCAGTGGGTCGCGATCCATAGTTTGGGAACCGCTGATATGGATAATGATTCATATTGTTAGTACATTGACATTATTATATTAATACTACTTGATTATAAGAAATTATAATTGATAAACAATAATAGACCATTGCATGGTATACATCAGAGGTGGCTGCCTGTCGACTGACAACAACAATAACTCCTATTAAACCCAGAAACAGGAGCAAGAGAAGAGTGGTAATATGACCACTCTGATCATGATTCGCCAACCTCTACCAGAACCTAGTAAACTAGATCAGGGGTGTTCAAAAGCTTTTCGGGTCGGGCCGCATGGCACTTTCTAGAGCTTTCGCAGAATTACTATTTGGGTCCTTCTTTTTGAAAACTACATATTATTTCTTTAAAAACTGAAATATATAACAACAGAATACAAACAATTCTATGTTATGTATTACATGATACAAGTCTGATTATAAGCTATCCTCTTTACGCGAAGGGTAAACAGTATTTTCAAAACATGAAGTGGGCGGCATCTTTTATTATATGATACCATTTTAGGAAACGTTTGTCGATAGCATGAGGTAACTCATAGATCTGATCCCCGTGTTCAATTATTCAAACTAAACATTTCGAAAAGTTCATTCAATTTATAAGTGCATTGTTCAATTTGTGCAACTAGTTTGGATTTTTGTATACTCTCACTAAATATTCTACATTTATCATGATTTTATTTAAACCCTATTTGTTAGAACAAAAAATAACTGCTATTAATTGGAGAATTTTTTTTAGACATTTTGTCAAGTCACCATTAGGCTTGATCAAGCACACTTGGTATACATCATGGTACAAATATAGCTATACCAAACTATACGATATATTGAGTGTTGTCTGCTTCCATGAATGACATATTGATTGGTGTCAATCTCTCTTTGCTTGGAACCAAGATTAAAGATTTAAGCTCAAGTATTTCTCATTTACAGTACCACTGCGAGAAGCCTCTGAAGATATTCTTACATCAGCACAAAGTGATTACAGCACTCTTCATGCCGCAGAAGGAATATTTCAACTGCCATTCAATGTTGGATCACCAATAAAGTTCACAAATAATGAAGACAGCCATTCTTTCCAAGGCTACATAAAGCTTAGCAAAGTATTCACAACTCCAAAATCTCTCCACTCTGATTCTGAAAGAGTTTCATGCACTATTCCTGTGTTTTGCTGTTCCGTGAAAATACCAGTGACAGCTATAATTGTCCAATCAGAGAAGGATGAATGGAAAAACATTGGAATTGTTCAAATATCAAAACAACAATTTGTGCATTGCGAGCTTGATGCTGGGGAAACCTACGCAATTGTTTTACATTTTGGCGAAAGTATTGAAAATTACCTGTTTCACTTAACTTGCTAAATCTGTTCAGGGGGGAATTCCCGAATAACTTGCGAAGTCTCCATGGATGATGGTGTGGAAACGATAACAAGATCTTTCGCGTCTCATCAAAGATTCACCATGAAATTGGGAGAAACAGTCGATATTGTAGTAAAGAAGTCTGACAACGTCATATTTGACTGGGAATTTAGCCTTGACCCAGGATACATTAATATTTTAAAAACCCTCAAATGTCACGAGACCGCAGTAACAGGACAAGAACAGGAAAGCGATACCATTACATGCTCAATCGTTAGCGCCAGTACAGTGATTAGCCATATAACATTCGACGGATGGTCAGAGCAACAATATGGAAAAATACCTGGAATAGTGGAAAACATTCCAGGTAATTTATTTGTATAACACTTGTTCGCGACTTCTTCTTTGAACAAGGCTGTATACGAGCAGCCAGTGATATCTAATGATTTGTAATAGCTAATGTTATCTGAAAGGGAATCTTTATGGTTCAGCATCGATTACACACCCCTGTGGAGGTAGGATTTGAACCCGAGCTGTGTGATCTGTGATACCCACACAGTGAAAATCTAATACTTAATCAACAGGCCAACACGCCAATTGAATCACTTTAATTAATTATCTTCTATATCAGTGGTTCTCAAACTTTTTAAGCCACGTCCCCTCTTTAGAATTTGTCAAGTGCCCCTTCTCAAAAATAACTAGCTAACAATAACTAAGCTACAAATAACAGATAGTAATGCCAAAATATGTTTTATTCAAAAAAACGTTAAAAATACGTGGATGGAATGAAATATCCAGAACAAAAAAATAAGAATATCCAAAATAACGCAGGCAAGAAAAAAGCTAACAAATATTTTTGTTTTAAATCAGCTTCAAGGTACCTCAAAATAATCGCGACAGCCCTCTATTTGAAAACCACTGTTCTATATAAAACATAAATAGACACTATCTTCTGATAAAGTACCGAACAATTGTGTAGTTGTGATTATATTTCATATTTGCTCATAATGTTAGCAAGGTTACATTTGTTCAATTTGAGATTTTATTTCACCCTAGTGCCCCTAGAAATAAATCCTACCTACCAATGAATTGAAAGTAAAAAACTATGTTCTCTTGATTTGAATCGGAATTGACATATCCTAAACATTTTATAAAAATATCTTACATTTTAGAATCGTCAGTCCTGGTTCAGTTGACAGATGAATCTCCAAAAAATATGAAAATTGTCGCAAAATCTCTATCAAGTGGTCATGAAATTGCAACAACATCAGCGGGAAGTTCAGCTATCATAAATTGCATAGAACCTGGAGACAAATATTCTGTCTCCATATTTGATATATCTGATGGTCTTCAACACAAGCTTATTTCCAAAACTGACATTCAAACAAGTAAGTTGCAGTTTTGTATTAGATTTTCACACAACTAACCCAATGTTATATAAAGTCAACATTCTGTATGATTAATATCTTCGTATTTAAACATACTTGAAATAAGATAGGATTTTCGTTTCATTATGGGAAAGAGTCTGTAAGATGGCCCATTTACATGGCCTCTCATCGAGTTATCATTCCACTCCGGAGGGACCACAACGACCAGCGGTTACGTGAAACACCCTATTATGGCAAAGAGCAAACCAAGTAGCAATGACAAGCATGTTGGTAGCACTTATATGTCAACTGACAAGCCAGCTTTATCAAATAAACACTACATTTTTATTTGTGAAGAGCGAGGTCCAGGGACCCATGGCGTGCGAGCCATCTATAGCTTTTTTGGTGATGGTCAATGGCTCTCTATTTTCTCTGGGTACGAAAATGCAATTTGAAATATGTACCTGTTAGGGATCTCTTTATCCTTTCAACCCTTTGTATTGTTTGAATTACCACATATTTGAGTTATTAAATTTATTTTACTAGGTAAAACAATTGGAGAGGGAGGAGACATTGTTCGTGCTGGAAATTGCACACTTATTTTTCCGGAACGCGCTGTGAAGAATGGAACCAAAATTGAAATATCAGATTGTGCGGAGAGTGTACCAACCCTCCCTGATGAATACTTCTGCATTACACCTATAATGGACTTTCGTTCATCACAAAAAAAATTTGATGAGCCTGTTATCTGCAAACTTGCGTTACCCCATATCATTGTAAAAAAAACTATATCTGTCGATGTAATGTGCTTTGAGGACAATAAGTGGGATAAAGTATGCTCCAGTGTTTTGACTGAAAATAGTGCAGTCGAGTTTAGGTGTGACCATTTTTCTCCATATACATTAGCAATAATTATTTAATTGCCATACAGTCTGATTCCCAATATTTCTTTCTGGATGCACAACATGGTGTACTTTGACAAGAATGACAATTTTATGTGTGTCACATGTTTGGATTATGAATCTATCAAGCAGAAATGTAAAACAACGTTAATGGAGGCTAACTATATACCATCTCCATTAATTATCCCAACTTTTGAACTAACTTTCGATAAAACCGCTGGCTTTTTCCTCAAATGTCTTGGTGTTGAGCCAGAGAGGCTAATTGGTGAATGGCAAACAACTCTCAATTATGATTTTGTCAAAGAATGGTCCCACATGCAAGATTTTCAAATGGATAAAGTCGTCGGTCAAGACAGAATCACTCTTCTGTTCAGTCGATTATTGGATGACTCACCCCGACCAGTTGAAAAGAAAACTCAAGTGTCATACCCTCTAGATAAAAATGCAATCAGTAAGTATTCGGATATGCCACATTATTGAAATTTATTTAAATCTATTCGTCTAAAATACCTAAATGTAGCAGCATATGACAAAAGGAACTTCTGGCATATTCTTAATCTGAAAGTCATACATTCAGATATTCAGATTCAGTTAATTTATTTTCGTCATGCATGAAACATTGTAAACACACAATACTAAATCAAGTCGAAAAAACAGACACACAACACAATGTTTCAACTGCAATTTGAAATATAATTTACCCTCAGTTATTGGAAAACACATTTTCTCGATTTTTGAGTGTTGTCTTGACAGTAAAATGTCGAACTAAGTTTTGCCCTAACAATTTTATCTGCTTGGCTGGAGACTTTAAAACAGCAAAACACCGACATTTATGTCTATTTATCAATTATTTCAGCTTCAACGGAACCATCAAGCGCAGCTGTGAATGCCATCCAAGGTCAAGGCATAAAAGTTATAAACTATAACCCTGTATTGCACGGTCATTGAAGCAATTAGACCTATTATTATTTAAGTAGATATTGTGTCACTTCTATGAATGGAGCTTTCAAAAGTTCCATGGCTTCAGCGAAACAGATATCAGTGACAATATACGAATAACTCATCCAATTTTCTTACCAACTCAATGGTTCACATTTCACTTACATAAAAATGTGATGTGATGTTTTCGTTATATAACAATTTGGACATAAGATATTTACACGATGATTTATATGAAATCATGTTCCCCCGTGAGGCCATAAATAAAGCATTTTGACAAGCTGTCTAAAGTTAGACTATCAATATTTTTATTACTGTTAGACCCCATTAGTCAATAATTTGTAACTACATCTGTTTTATTAACCATGTAATGCATTATTTTATTTTATATCAAGTATTATTATTTCTTGTTAATACTTGTGAGCCTGATTAGTTTGAAGATTTCTGACTAATATTATTTTGATTATTTATGTAGTGCATGCTTTTAATTTATTTTAGTTTTATTAATTTCATTTTGATTATATAAAGTCAGTGCTAGTTGATAATAAATGATTACTTAAACGAGTCAAGTTTATACAAGACCACCAGGGTCAAAGGTTATCAGTTCCATAATCTATCAAGCACTCACGCCCTGATTGGCCCTGTCTACAAAATTACATTTTTATGTTGGTAGTCCTGAAGTATGCGTACCAAGATGGCGGACACTGGAATGTAATATGTGTACCAGGTTAGGGTTGAGCCATAATTTTATTCCGATTTTCCTTATTTTATTTCTATTACAATTTCGGGGACTGGCCAGGTGACTCTCATAATAGTAGTACTTAAAATTATGACCTTACCCTAACCTGGTACATATATTACATTTCGGTATCCGACATCTTGGTACACATACACATATGTGAATGCTTTTGCCATGTGCCTGCATTATTTGTTGGGAATACTCTGTGGCATTGGGCTGCTTAGAATGATGGGATAATCAGCAAAACGTATGGCTTGGACCAGGGGCCAAAGACTTTGCCCACCAAGACTGGCGGTCCTTGTGAGTGTGGCGTAAAAAGTTTTATTATTGTTTGTATTTTATTATTATGAAGTGTTACAAAAGCAAAAGTGGAAAACAATAGTCCTCGTGCCAAAACTCAATTTAATCGGAATCTCAACAAATTCCTTGAGCTAATTATTTAGCTAATACATCAAAATTCGATATCAGTTTGGTTGTGACAGCATCAGGCTGGCCAGATTAAATTACACAACGGGCCGGATTTGGCCCGTGGGGCGTAATTTCCCCATGTCAGTTTTAGCAGTTCACTTTTTTAACTTTCTCTTTTTGTAATCCATTTACTTTTTTAAAGTCTATGAAAAAGATGGACATGCAGCGCTAGCTTCGATGAGTGTAGTAATTTAGGTTCTTAGGGACGTAAAAATGATACTTCGCGATACAGATTGCAAGCTAAAATTCTGATCTAGAGAAACTTGGGTATATTCACTTGCTATGTATATGTATGCAAGTGTCTTCAAAAACATCAGCAAATTATATGGGTTTCACATATTAATCCATGGAGATAGGAAAGGCGATACGACGGCTTAACCCTAGGGCGAACCACGGCCTCCCGTCCGTTATCATTTCATGTCGGGTATGGGATTAGCTAGTTATTTGTTTTCGGAAGCATGGTTGAGGAAGCCGTAACCGACCAGAGGTTACGTGAACCACCCTATGGCAGCGAGGAGTCTAACAATTGTATCGCACATCCCCATCCACACCTGGGATTCGAAACTGCGAACCCACGCAGAGTAATCAGAGGTGCAAACCCAGGCCCGCCGCTTCATTATTTGTGGTCCGCGTTGCATTAGGATATCACATATTGTGTTGCTTAGTATTATGGCTAGTTGAGGCATCTAGCGAAGTTAATATTGTGCTCGGCTAGTCTAAGTTGTTACCTGGATGTCTAGATCAGTGGTTCCCAACCTTTTTTGGCTCGCGGCCCTCTTTGGTGGTATACACATACCTCGCGACCCCCTCCCTCACTTTCCATACTCATCAAAAAAAAAAGTTTGCAATTACACTTGAAGCAAAATATTTGAACTTTTTTGTCAAACTTTTTTCTCCGGCCCCAGGATTCACAGTAATTAGGTGTGTTTATATACAATTTACATCCTACAGTTAAAATATATCAGCGAAACATTGCAGAGGAATTTTTTTTCTTTAAAATATATTGAAGGTCATCCAAAATTTCCAATATTGTGTAATTACTGAGTGATATGTACTATTTCAAATATAAGTTAAATATAATTTTTGCAAACGATTAGATTTTTGATTTCGTGTGTGCGCTAGATTGTAAGTTGGGCAAAATAGGGCCATGACTGAACATCTTTATCTTAAGGTGTGTCACCGCTTCCATGGTTCAGTAAGTTGCAGAACCGAAAAAAAATGTTTATTTGGACAACATGTTGCTCTCTCCTTCCCAATGGCTTTGCCAAAGCGATTTGTTTCCCACACATTCTGATAATTCATTTTTGTATTGATGCCACAAAGCCTTCCTGCCAAAGCGCTTTGCTATTGACGCATAATTGGACACGAAATGGACAAAACGATCGTTTCAATATTATGTTGTTATTGTTATTATTATTTTTCTCCGTCATTATCATAAAAAAATCGCTTTTCTCTTCGAATACTGGACCAATTGCTTTGAAATTTTCAGTGGTTTATAAGCGAGTGCTATCGCTGTCGGCTCTTGAATCTCTAGATTGGTACACACGTGGCCATGAGCTTATACTGAATGATACCGATGTTATATTGCGATGTTGTAAGTATGTTTCACCAGAAATTACTAAAATAAAGTTTTAGACGTTTTCATATTCAGCATATTAACCAAAACCAATAATATACTAGTTTTCTTTATCTGACGTGTGAGTGAAATGTCTATTCAAAGAAGTAAAGCTAGAATAAGAAAATTCATTTCAAAATGGAATGGCTAAATACAACAGTGAAGTGTTCGACACTAATTTGCAATCTTGATACCGGTATGCATAAGCTAATACAACTGCTAAACTTTGGGAAATTTATTGCTATTCCACGTCAAGGAATGTGATAATCCACAAAGTTTGTCTGGAAGTGGCACCTGATAGTGATTTGGAAAAGGAAAATCATGGGAGGGAATAAGAAGTTGACTTTTTGAAACGCCATTTCAATAATAAAAAGCACATTGACGCACTAGATGCATTAACTCAGAAGCGAAACGTGGAAGCAAGAGGAGGTTGTTTAAACTTTTTCACCGCAATACCGATCGCTGACGAAAGTGAAGTTTTGAAAACCCCATCAAGTGAAATGAAGCCTTACATAGATAGTGTTCCACCACGTGTTAAGCTGAATTCATCAATATTGTCCCGCAAATTAATAAATAGTCGCATGTCAACATACACTAAATTGCCACATTTATGGTGAAGCAAAAATTGCGGCTTCGAATTTTTGATAAGCATAGACTTTGTCGCCAGGGAAGAAAACATGCGAGCATGAGACAAGAAAAATATCATACTCTGATCAATTACATATTTGTTCATGATTTGATTTTTCTGTATTCACCAAGCTTTGTTATCAAATTTACTCATCTTGAACAACACACCATCACTACTTTTATATGGAGTTGTTTCATATCATTTGTTAGTGGTAAGACATTAAACCAAAAATTCCTAAGTCCAAGTACACGAATCAGAAATAAATAACTGGTTGACACTTCCAATATCCGACATAGACTGGTAACCAGACAACAGGCTGTGGTTTGGCATACAAATAATGCAATTATTTGGAAAGGAATAAAAACTTTTCCTTCGATATTTAATTTACGGAAAATGGATTCGATTATCTTAATATAGGAAAGCTTATCAGATTGAGTAAAGCAGACAAGTGGCAATGGCGGAATTGTGGTATATTTTAACAAGAATGCATATCCAAGTGATAGTTGTTACTAATATGGCACTCAAGGCTCATTTGTGGCCATGGGAAGTGGTAAACAAAGATTACAGATCTCACAACTCCCTTGATCATGTACTGATAGTTGGTAGTTAGAACCAAGCCATTGGCACAGTCAGGGATATTTTGACAGAAGGGCTCAATCCCTGTCATCGCCCACTCAACACGAGGTCCGTTCACAGCCATTCAACCCTCTTTGTGTTTCTTCAAAAATACCAATGTAAAGTAAAAAATAACGGCCATTCACAACCCTTTAGCTCTCTCGAAGTTTGGTGCAATTTTGAAAATACCAATGAAAATTAAAAAATAACGGCTGAAATGCTAGTCACCTTTATTGAAAATTTGTCTAAAATTTTTTCTGCATCATTATTACCTTTCAGATGACTGAAAGGTTGATCTTCAATAATCACAACATCACTGTCTGAATCTAGAACATTAGGATGGATAAATGATGAAATATTAGACTGGGAAATGCTTGTTCAGCACATTGCTAGTTTAATTTATGATAAAAAAAATAGGATTTAATACCATTGAAGGAAAATTGAATACGATTGAACTGAAGACAAAAAAATACCTCTAAGTATGAAATATCTGATTTAAATATGCGTCTTCCTAAAACAGAACTCGGTATTTTAAGTTGTGGTAGCAATATATCAACAATGTATTATCATATTTTTATACAAATTCAGGTCAATACATCGATAAAAAAAGTGATCTTACCCAGTCCCAAAGTTAAACCATGGTTCTTGGGTAATTCTCACACTTTATATCAACACTTGGACGAATTCCGAAAACAAACGTTATCCACATTCGTCGATACAAATAAAGGCTATACACACAATGCTACGGTTTGTAGCTGTCGTGATAACTATTTATCGGGGAAGCCTGGAAGCAGCGACAATAACCTATTTTATTAATTCAACGTTCTATTAATATGAAGTAGTTAAATCATATTGAAATCCATAGTTACAATCCACATTCTCTACTCGGCTACTCTGAGCTCGAATGTATCAGTAACCAAGTATTACGTTTGCAAAATACCTTATTATTCAAATAAGGTCATCATATCATAATTCAAATAAAGATTTTTTACAGTAGACATCAAGTTTAGACTATTACACGCCTATTCTGCAATGAAGTTTTGCTGCTGTGGGTTTTTGTATTCTGTATTCTGTAGATATCACTTTGATAATTAAGCAAAGTTTATTGATCATTGTATCTATCATGTTTCTTTTTTTTCAAGTCATCATATTTTTAAACTTACTTCTTAGGCTACTGTTAAATGGAAAGGTTGAGAATACCTACAGTGTGAATGATCATACCGCATTAAAATTATCAATCTCGGGCAATAGAAAACTGATTAATATTTTAGTTTATATACATATTGAGGGAAAATGTAAGAAGGCTTCACCTCTTAAGATATTCAAATCTGTCCAAATAGGTGGTATTTTGTTTACTAATCCACATACAATTACATGTTTCTCATCATTAAACTCGTCAAATAAACATAAGGACCATACTGCAATTTAAAGAAG